GGAGAGATTAATAGGAAAAGAAGTCTTATCTTTAAAACTTCAGAAGGAAAACTTAGAGCAGGACTGGTGTATCTGCTAGAACAGCACTTCGGCTATGAAACAGCTATTTCATAGCAGGAAATATGGTGGGATCCTTTGTTGTACCTAAGGCTTTCAGGGAATGCCAGAGGATAGGCTCTACCTCTCGCACAACCATGTCTCCATTTTTCTTCACAGAAGCCAGCCGTGAAGTTGAGCAGGTCACACAGGCGTGTTGGCAGGGGCCTCGCCACGGCCAGCACCCACAGATGATGCGCTCGCTCGGTCCCCAGGGGAGACCATCCCCTGCCTGGTGGCAGCACTGTACAGTCCAAGTGCCTGTAGACAAAGTGCTGCCCAGCCCAGGCTGATTGGAAAGTTTTTCTTGGAAAAAGGTGGGTTTTGGTTCTGTTTCTAGGTTAGGTACCTCCTTTTACCAAAACGAGTAACTAGGCAGGACACTCGCGTGCAGAAAGCCAACAAGCCACCACCAGCTCAGCATCCCCCCCTTGGTAAAGAAAAGCCAGGGAGCACTGGCACGTCCGTGGCCAGCGGTTTGATTCTAGCCATTTGGCTGCAGCATATGATGAACTAGACGGGCTGGCCAATGTTTAACATTTATCTTCCAATGCCTGATTTAAAAAATGACAGCTTTTAATGACAGTATTTATTTTTGGTGGGGACAGCTGTTTTTTTCACGCTATGAATGAGCAAACTGTTCTGAGCAGATTCGTACCATACATGCAAATCTGAATTGGTTGAGAAGATAGTTCAGCTTAGGGGTTTGGTCGTTTTATTTCTCCATACTCCCAGTTTTCAGCTTTGTACATTTCCTTCTTCTGGTGTGCTGAGATTGTAACAGACAGGGCCACCTGTGCACTCCAGGATCGGGTGCCACAAGGTTCGGATCTCAGATGGGACACTCGGTGCCACCAGAATAATACTGCCAAACTGAGAACAAGTTTGGTTTTGTATCACACAGGTGCTGGTTGTGCATTCATGATTACATTGAAGCAACATAGTTCTTGACTGTCATTATCACTCAGGTGTTTGTGTCAAGTGAACCAGGCCACAAGCTCATCACTGAGGAGCGGACACAGAGAAGCTGCTCTGGAAAAGCCCGGAGAAAGGTGGGCACTGCCACCTTGCAATGGCACTTGAACTCCACCTGTTTACAGAGCAACTTACCTTTACAAAACATTGCCAGGCCTTCAGCTGTATTGGATGAAGTGGAAAAAGAAGAAAAAGAGAAAAAAACCCACAACAAACCAAAACAAACGACACTCTTGGCAGCCTGGCTTTCTCCCAGGTCTCTGGCCTGGGTTCCTGCAGATTTTCCAAGTGACTGTTTCTGTGCTGTCTTGCTCATCCATCACACCTGCTTTGTCAGGTTGCCCTCAGTGTTTTGCATTTACTTAGTCCCACAGCAAGGATCCGCCCTCCCCTTCCCCAGCCAGCTACATATTAGCGCAGTAAGCTGCAAAAAGATGAGGTTCTACAAGAAATAAACCTCATGCGATCCCCGCTTCTTCCACTTCGCAGTTCTGAGTTTGCTGACTGCAACACCAATTTCTTCTTTTAAAAGAAAGTAGTAGCAAAGTACCTTAACAAACTCGAATCCGTTTGGGGAAGTTGTAGGAAACTCTAATATTAGAGCTGCCGTTTAATTATCAAGGCAATAAAAAGGACCAAGAGGCCAAGTCGCCTCCGAATGTCTTTCATGTCAGTTTGTTACACAGTGTGATCTTGTTTTACAAGTGCTCTGTTTACAAGAATGCTATGGCGGGGGAAAAAAAATGTTCATTTAAGTCGCACAATCACATAGGGCTACTTTTGTAAAGGTCTGATCCAGTCCTACCAGCTGCTTGCCCGCTAAACTTTGCAATTGTGGAGGCTAATTAAGATTCTTCAGAGGAGCTCTCCTCTCGCCGGCGGTTGCAGGAGGCCTCATTAGACATGCTGTACCTCCCCCTTCACCCAGCAGAATACCCCACTGTGCTTGGGTTGCGTTATGGCTTATGAATTAACCAATTGATTCTGAAAATATCATTACTTTGGGGCTAAATAAAGCTGTTCCCTTTAAGGGGGAAATGTCAGGGCTCCACATAGGCATAACTGATACTGTATTACCTACAAACTCCCTTCTCTCTCACGCTGCGCGTGGAGGATGCACTTGCCGGGGTACAATGGGTTCAGTACAAAGGATTTTATCCCGGCTTTCTGTGAAGATGGGGAGGAAAGCCTGAGCCTGGGCAGTAAGCATGACCTATCCACTTGCATGCAGGAAGCTTTATTCACATGCAACTCTGATTTTTATGAATTAGTTTACATGCAATGACTGTGTACATTTGCCTCGTCTTTTTTGCGTCCACTTTTCTCTCCAGCTTTAAAGCGGCCCACAACTGGTACAGATCAAGCACATCTGAGAGCCGCTTGGTACCAACGCCACGTAGCTGAACTGTAGAGCTGAACACAGCTCTAGTGCTGGAACAAAACCTCAGCTGGCACCGATACATAATACTGGACCTCCAGTGTCTTTGAGAGGTTATGGCTGAAAAAGTTTATATTCAGTTTTTAAATTGGTTTTAAACCAGAACCAAATCTGATTTAAAGCCCAAACTGAGGAATATATAAATTTAATTATGTTTCATCTAACAGAAATAGCTTTCCCCTGCCGTGTTTGGGCAAAAATCTGGTTTTGATTTTTTAAAAGAAAGCTAACTGCAGGAACGAGACAAGGTGTCTCAAGTAGTGAAGAAACCCAATGTGCTGACACACAGCTTCACATTGGTCACAAGCACACCATCAGCTTCGACAGCATCCTCTTCCTGAACGTTTCCAGTGTTTAGCTACACCTCTTTCATACAAAGAGAATACCCTCCCCAAACTAAAAACGAGAACATTAAAACATATGAAAACTTCACTGCACAAAACCATACTATATATTGTAATAACAAAATGCTTTATTTTGGGGGAATACAAGGAAAAGTGTGACATCCTCATTATCAAAAAGGCATTCTTTCTTTGAAAAACGTAACACTCGTACAGAAAAGGTGACCTGTGGATAAGCCCTCTCATTTAGCAGTGGGAATTCTTTTTTATTTTACAGCTGAAGCTGGGATTTGAATAATCTACAGCAACAGATTTGAACTTTGATATTTTCTAGTAGCTTGGGGCACGCCTGCCACTCGGCACTGCTCCGGTTTGACAGCCTACCAGGAGGCTGAGAACACAACGCTGAGATAGAGCTTTCGCGATTCTCACCCAGGTCGCTTTGCAACAAACCACAAGACTTCACCATTACCACAAGAAGACAGTGAGAAAGCCACAAGGTAACTCATCTTCTCTTTTATCTCTGAAGACTCTTCATGCAAGCCCTACGCTCATGAAATTCGCGTACCGTTCATCTGATTACACCTCAGTACTTCACCACACATCCCCTTTGCTGTAAGCCAGAACTGTGTTGCGAAAGGCATACAACAGCTCAAAGGTGAAATACAAGTATTGCCCTAATGAACCTGCTTTCTGTACAGTAGGTTCCAAGTAAGTTGGGATATCTTTTAAAGACCACAAATTTATATCCATAAATTACTTCTGCCCTCTCTGAACCTTATGTTAGAATTGAAGTTGTTAAAGAAAGGGACTGGAAAGTTGCTAAAATTGGCAGGTTATAAAGTAAGCATTCGTCTTTTAATCCAGCATGACAACTCTTTGCCACAAGTAGTATCCACGCTAAGCAGCAAGATACATCCGTCTTATCATTTAAAGGGGGTTCATGTTGTCTGAAGTGGGAATGGCAAACTCTAAAAGAACTAACAGTTTTCTTTATTCAGGTTAGACATAACAAATATGTCAGATACAGCAGTTAGTCTAGAAAAATACATTTAAAAAAATCTTCAGCAGACCATGCTCCCTGTAACAAAAATCTTTCAAAACCAATTTTACAAATTATTCTACATTAATGTAAAAAGAAAATCTTAAATTTAGCATCATGGATTCCATCAAACATCTATCTATCAAAACATGAGTTTCACTATTTTTCGATGTTAGAATTCATAATACATTTTTCTAATGTATCCTGTACATATTAAATAACCTAAAAGGCTCCTCTTGTAGTGCATTAACAACTTAGCAAGCACACTCAGTATTTCTCCAGTACCATTTGCATTACAGTTATTTGCCTGCAAATGTAATTAACATCTAAAAGTGCACACAGTTAGGTTCCCCCTCCCTCCCCATAACCTGTTTCCCTGCTGAAACCCAGGCGTCCACTGGAAACATTATGCTACTGTAGCTAATCTACCCAGGATTAGAAATGTGTGACTAACGTGTTCTTAAACTATACAGGAACTGAATTATATACAAGAATCAAAAGGAGAGCCTGTATTTACATCTAGAAATTTCCACTACCACAGCATTATACCAAGTACTCAATACAGTGTTACAGTTGGTATTTACTTAGGATTTTAGCTTTAAATCAGTATAACACAAAACTTAGCTCTGGAAATACCCTGAAAAAAAATGAACGTGTTTATTAAATATGACGTCTGTTATGCCACAAGACAAATATCCATTGCTGGATATTCTTACAAGCTCAGTGTTTGAAATAGTGTGCTGTTCCATAAAGCAACTAAGAAATTGCAGAATGGTTGCTGGGGAAAAAAAGGAAAGAAAGAAAAAAAGAAAGAAAAAGGGAGGAAAAAAAAAGAAAAAGGACAGCAGATATCAAGTTGAGGAATTAGATTTGAATAACTAAACCAAACTGTTAGCACAAGTTTAAGACAGCCACTGCATGCAGAAACCCCTTGGAAAGTGTCATACAGATCTGAGTAGGTTGTAATACACAAGCTTAAGATGTAACTTCACTGAATTTTTCCATACCAGTTGGTAGGACTTTTCCCTAGCAAGTGGAAGAATTTTAAGATTAAATTCCAGATTATCCAGTTTAAGATTAATACCTTTACTCTCCAAGAAATCCAGTGTATGAACCTATATTACATTTTTCCAACGCTACTTTAAAAAAAGCAAACTATAAACTTCTCGATTCACTTTTTTACATTGAACTTCTCAAAGAAATCCAAAGTGTTGTCTTTAATTCGCATTAAAGTGGTCAAACATTTCTCCTGTTTCTCCCCTCCCCAAAAGTGCAAAAAACAAGTTGCTGCTTGGTCCACAAACATAATCCATCATGTACAGTGAGAAATTTTCCTTCTGATGGAGTACTGCTGCCAACCCATCACTTCCAGTTTCTATTCCAAGAAAAATGTCAGCGTCCAAAGATGGAATTCAATTCCAGTAGAATTAATTCTACAATCTGATTCTGGTATACTGTGTGGACTGCTATGTTACCAGTCTCTTTCTCTGGTTTTAATAATGTTGGACCAAAAACTATTGCTACGCTTTGATAGGTCATTCGGTTCTTTTCTCCATTTTCTACAACTCTGAAAGGGAAAAAAATACACAAAAAAAAGAGACTTATCAGTGATAGAGTAAGAGGATGACAGGAAAAAGACACAGTCCTAAGCAAATGGCTATTCACAGTATTTATTTAATGAATAGTCTTGTTATTAGGACATACAGCTGCTGTGATTCCCCTCTCTATGGAAGAGTTTTGTTTTGAAGTGCTAATCCTGATCCTCTCACAATTCCTTAAATGTAAGGACCTGGCAATAAACATCACAACTACGACACATACTGTCTAAAGTCTGTTTGGTGCTCTGCAAGCTTTAAATACAGACTGATACATTCTTTTCATCAAGTCCAATATAGGCAAGAAAAATGCAATGGAAACAGTCACTTTGTACTTTTAATTGGATTATTTAGCTTTAAGGGAGGATCAGCAATACAAAGCCTTTCTTTCTGCTACTTACCTCTTCAGGTGTCTAAAGAGTACCTGCATGGTGTCCTGATTTGGTTTTGGCAACTGTTTGATTAAATCTTTAACAGCATGGACGCGCTGCCTTGGTTCTTGTTCTGCAAAAGGATAAGGTATAGAAACAAAAATTCAATATTTTTGTTTAAAACTTTAGCCCAAAATTTAACAGACTGGGAATAAAAGCAAAACGTTTTGCAGTGCTAATATGAGATAAAATACTGCCACCTCCTGACCGAACCGTGCATTACTGACAGGCAGTTGTAGGTCAGCCTTACAGACCTTCATAACCGAAACATTCTGTTTACTTTCAAATAATTACATGAATTGTACATAGTGAGCAGAACTTATCCAAAAAGCACACGCGTGTTTTCCAGACTTACTAATTGCATTGACAAAGTCATTGAAGTGATTATAAGTGAACAGCGGCTCTGGCAATTCTCTGAAAAACATCTTTAGAGCTCCTGTGATGACATGTATATCTTCCCATTTACTGTCATTCAAGTCTAGTTTCTCATCTGAGAGAGAAAAAAATGAATAATTAATGTTAATAGTTTAACTATAAAAGCTTTTTTTTTTTTTAAATAAACTCAACTACTCTTCTGTAGTTATTGCTTTTAAAGCAGCAAATAGTCTTACTCCACTTTAGCCCATTCTCTGCTGGGATACAGAGCTGCAGCAGTGTAAAAGGGCATACACAAAAACCTCAACCACTACAGAGAGAGATGTCCAAACTCTGCTTACTGCACTACAGGCAGCTCCCCTACACCAAGGGCATCTTCCAGAGAGGAACAGGAGCTGCTGACATAACACAAAATTCACTGTTAGACCCTGTCGATCGGGAAATGAGAGGTGAGATTGCAGATGGGCTACTGCCCTCTTCGTAGCTGCGAGCCGCCTACTGATTCCCACTGAACAGACCACTGACAGAGCCACATGAAAGGGTTTTGTAGAGAATATGGTGAAGAGGAGCCAAGCACCCCCACACTAAAAGCGAGTAGGAAATCTCACTAAGAAGCGTTACCTTACAAGTTTAAAGCTAGTAGAAGCTTAATGTGCTTTCTGTTTTTTCATGAGGTATCAAGTTACTTTGTTTGAAATAATTCCCCTCCCCCAAATTCTATTACTATCTTTCTTTAGAATTACGTTTTAGCAATTCCTCTATGCTCCACATAAGACCAAACCTCCAGGATGCCAGGTTTTTCAAATTATGTATATTGCACACTAAATTCTGCAATTTGGAAGTAAATTTACTTTGAAGATTACAATAATTTCTCATGAAAGACTGCAGTTACACACTAAGAATTTTTTTTTCCTGAGCTTTCTATGAACTTCAACAATCTGACAATTTCTATTCTTCAACAATACACAATTGTAATACTGTTGAAGGAAGCTTACCATGATTGACTGCAAATCTTAGCTTCTGTATCACTGCAAGATTGCCACTAACTCGGTATAAGCCATCAACATCTAATCCTAAAACAAAGGGATAAATCCATTTTAATACCTTATACATGTATGAATTCTGCAATCATTAGACTGCTTCTTTATATGTCTACTCAGCAAAATTGAAAACAAAAGAAACCCACCTTGTAACAAAGAACACTTGGTTCAACAAAAAAAACCAACAACAACAAGAAAAAAAAGAAGTTAAACTAGCTTTTTTGATGGGCAGGGCATATCAGAGGAGCTTTGGTTTGATGACACAGGTTTGGTAGCATCAAGCTCAAAATAATCTCCAAAACTTCCTACGCAGGAGAACAGTAGTAATGAGGCAATAGCTCCAAGTTTCCCCCATGAGACTAGGTGTCTCGTCTAAGATGCTCTTGGTGAGTGGGCAGGGGTATACAGGAGTCCAACATGCAAGAACCAAGTATTCTGTGAATATTCAATGTTTTTAATGTATGGTTAAGAAAAATCAAATCAAGTCATGCATAGAGAGCATCTCAAAAGTTGTCAAGTGACCAGGTTTGCATGGAGAAGGAACAATGTGCATGCACACTCATCACTACCCAGCAGCCTACAAAACTCAAATGGGTAGCCCTTGCCTTTACAGTACTGGACACTCAACCAGAAAAGAAAACTGTGTCTCTGTGGTTGCTACTGCAGTTACTCAGAAGTGATTAGGAGGTAAAGAATTTAATTGAAATGCCACTTGAATGCAGCATGTGAGTCAGTGCCACTGAGAGGGGTGAGTGTTGCCAGAATACCTGCAAGTCCCTGTAGCTCCTCAAGGAGTTGTCTGATGCAACACAGCACAGTTACCAGCACCATCTGACATATCCCTTTTCCCCATAATCCACTAGTCATTCCTTTACAGAAAGAACTGATTTGAAGTGTATTGGCAGTAGGAAGAAGAGTTGGAGAAGTGGGGAAAAAAAGCTGTTCATTTCTGTCAGCTTCCCCTCAGGTATTTAAAAAAGGAAAACTTCACCACTATCTTCACTGCAGTCCTGTCTTTAAAATAAAAAAGAAATAAAAAAAAAGGAATAAAGCAAAATAACCCCTTTCTCACAAACTGCAGATCACAAATGGAATAAAGCCTGCTGTTACAAGCAAGGTGGCCATTTGTTGAACCTGAATAAGGCAATGGAAGCAGTTATTTTTCCCCTCCCACGCCGTAAGATAGCAGCATTGAAAGAGGACTACAGGCTGCAACAAAATCCTAAACCAAGTTCCCATAGAAGATGCCTTAAAATTCACACATAGTATTCCCCTGTACCACTTACCCTGATTTTCAAGAGAATGTTCCCAGATTAACAGACTGGCATGTATTTGAATGATGATTATGGAGATTCCATAATCCCCTCTCAGTCATCTTTTCCAAGAGATAGGGCAATGACAACAGCAAGAAACAAGCAAGAAAACCAGCATAGGCTACAGCCGAGTCAGAAGTCACAACCAACATATTTCCAACAACCATGTGAAGATGTCCTTTACATCAGACAACCCAGAATGTCACATGTAGCTTTCAAACACTCAATTTTCTCAGTTATTAGATAGGAGAGACTTATTTTCAATGAAAGCAAACAAAAATTGAGTCAATATGTGCACACCAATAATCTCTAGAATTGCATAAAACCTCACATAGTGATCAGTGTAACTGGCTGAAGGGCATCAAACTGAGAAGAGTTGTCTTCTGGCAGTCAACACATATACACATACAGAGCAGGAACGTAACTTTTTCCTAGAAGTTTGTTTCAAGGAAGTTTTAATACAAATGATTGTTAGCATGCTTAAACCTTCAAAAAAAAATGAATGGTTGCGTTTTGACAGTCTCTCTCTTTTCATCTGAAAAAAACTGGATGGGCTCTCATATTACTTATTACTTATTATTATTACTTCTTGTAATCGCTCTTTCCTTAGAGCCTTGCTGCCAGGAGGCTGTCCTGCCTTCTCCTCAGCTTGAAATATACCGAAGCAGATTAGTTTCTCAGATCTAAGATTTCATCCCCCTCTCCCCATTTTGGATCCCACCTACCTCCCCTCCCCCTTCCCCTCTTGAAAACTCATTGCTTACTACAGATACAAGTTTCAGATTATTTTCCCCAAATAACTCTAGAGCATTTTAAGGATTAAAACGTTCAAAATTAGGTAAGTGGGGTGAGCAAGAGAGATTCGGAAACAAAAAACTTCAACCATACCATGTTCCTCAACATGCTCAATGCACAGCTTCACGAACTTTGGCACCGTGCTGTTTTCTCTTTGACACAAGCTGGTGAGATTGGAACCAAACACTTGATCTGGAACCAAGTAAAGAGACTGATTTACAGTGGAACAGGACTCAAGTGACAGAACTAGTTCAGGTTAAAACAAACCTCTACAAAGGGCAAAGACTACTGGATACAATTGTCACAGTATTAGAGTGAAAACAGGAAAGTTTTGAAAAGAGCTCTCAGCAGCTCCCAGCAAGAAAAAGCTCCCCGTAAGAAAGAATGTCGGCAGTTACACAAACGTGAGTCTCTGAGTAAGGAACTTTTGCTACTGAAATCATTTTAATCCATCAGGAGATACTTGTAAGAGTCTCATAGTCATTACTGTAATGAGAAATTTAAAGGAGTCAAATGGCCCTGTTACACTCCATTCGTGTTCTGAGTTCAAAATACATTTACTGTAATCTTTGTTAAAAATCTGAACTAACCAAAATGAAAGCTTTTGGCATTGCTTGGGGAAAAACCCTGTAAAATTTCATCTTTCATTGCTCCTACTGTTTAACCCAGCATTACATATTAATTTACTTTCACATAGTGTCTTTAACTTCTAACATTTTTGAGTTCTGACATGCATTTGTAAATGACAGACCTGTATATCACAGAGCTCTGAATGGAAGCAAGTATGACTACACATAATCAACGTGGCTGCAAGGTTGGACTCTAAATACAGATACTTATGGGCAAAGGTTATTTTGAATCTTGTTTTCAAAACTCCACAATCCAGAGGGAGTGTTTTCTATCATAAAGTGGAGCAAAGATGAAATTCAGCTTGGGCAGACTTTGTGTATTTCAGCAACACGTTAACTCCTCTTGTTCAGGTTATGTTATCACCAAAATCCCTCAGACCCATTTCTACGGTTTTCATCAAAGATGCCTCCCTCCCCTGTTCAGATGCATGAGACTTGCATCTGACATAGAGGATCTCGATAGGGTCTTGAGATAGAGAGGCAAAGCTCACACTCTTAAAGGGATGAAAGTTGGGGGGGGGGGGGTTAACCTGTTAAATAAGGTATGTAAAGTGGCTGTCTTCAGAGTATCTAGTAGATACTACTTCAGAGCTTATGCAAGAGAGAAACTGCTCTTGCATTTGCATCATCCACAGCATCTAGCCCGTTTTTCACCTTTAGTAATTTAAGCAGATTCATTAACAACACTTGCATCTGAATAGTGCTTTGGGAAACCCAAACAGCACAACAAACCAATCATACAGTATGAAAACTGGCATATAAAGGTATTATTAGCTGTATGCGTACAAGGCTGTTGCCCCAAAACACCTCAGTCCCGCTGCTGCTACTCACGCAGCCAGTTGTATAAGCAGAATCAGTAGCAAGGGATTGAAAAAGCCCACGCAGTAGAAAGCCAGGCTAGCATGCAGCTGTAGCAGGTAAAGCAACGCAGATTAGGTAGCACAAGAAAATAACAGTGTGTAACAAATTGCTTTGCTACAATTGCCTCTGACTTCAATAATTTCCACATGTACAGTAATTACTTTTTTCTTCCCATCTTAAAGTAACTTTTGTAATTTTGTTTTTCCATGTAACAAAACTTTAGCACAGTTACTTCTCTGCTTAGTGCATGCTGTTTGAAGTGGTTTGGTTTTGTTTTTTTTCCCCTAGAACTTTACATTATTTTTTATGCTTATACTGGGTTTGCCAAGTTTTCTGTTTACTAAGCTTGTTCTGTAGCAGCCACCAAAGTACACTGGGCTTTTAAATAAAGACTTCTGTATTTTTCATTCATACAGTAAATGTAAAACTGTACAGTGCAGAACCAACTTTAAAAATTTACACCATGCTTTTAAATAAAAACAAACTCTCCATTCCTTAACGTCTTTATTAAAAATCCAACCATCAGCACGCATGTGTACAAATTAAACTTGGCTCAGCATTCACTGTTGCTAATGTCAGAAGTTACGTCACTGAGGCATGACATGAATACTAAGCTGTAAAGCAGAGCAAAACGTCAAAGTCTGGGAATAATGCCTCCTTATCCCAAACAAAAATTTCATCATTTACAGTTAAATTATATTTGCAGATACACAAATATATCAAACGCCACATGCAACAGAAGCACGCCTGTTAAAGTATGTAGTTAGGCAAATCGCAGTAGGATTTGGTCTGATATTTGCCTACCCATATGTTATTTGGACCCTAGTAGAACACCACCTACAAGTCCTGCTAAAGCATGCAAATAAATAAAGTTTTACAGTGGGTACGAAGTCAATAATTTACACAAACACATTAACTTAAACCTGTGCAAATACTGTTCTTTCAAAGTTTCTACAAGTGTGACAAATGGAAGTATATATTAAATTATCAATTCTTTCAGAAGTTTGATTCAACAGTATCTGTAAGACTCATTGTTTGTGAAACAATTTAAAAAATGTATACATTCAAAGAAGATTATCGAAAAAAGATGTTTAAGTTAAGATTCCTTTAGCCTCATCCTGGTTTGCCTAGATACTTCATTTCCTATGCGATGGCACGTGGTTGGTCTGGTTCCACTCAGACTAAAATACCCTTGTGAAACAGATGCACACATGCATTCAGCTCTGTACCCAAAGGACGACTTTTTCCCTTGTATGCACAATTGATTAATAGCTATCTGAAGTTTCCAGCTCAGAACAGCAGACCAAATGGATTCTCTAGCTAAGAAGCATTCCAAGTCCAAACAGGCTCTTGAGCCCTCCATTTTCACTGCAGTTTGGCCAGTAATGAGCTGAAGGAGAGGACATGCTCCACGAAGTTTAGTGGCTAATAGCACTGCTCAGAAGAATAACAATCAATCACCAGTTCCACTATACATCCACGACTTTTGTTAAACCAGATATATACATGTGTTTTACTCTAAAACTGGACCATTTTAACCCCATTTTACACATGAACTACTAAATTCAGCTTTGCAAGTTATTTCCTTTGTTAAAAAGGTTCATTTACCCTTAATGTAGCCTTTTTCACGGACAGCTTGTAACGTAGGGCGCCGTGTAAGAAACTTCTTGAGCTTCGTTTTGGTCTTTTTCTGATCTGTGGAATCTATATTGCTAGGTGCTTTCACTGCTGAAAGAGAGAAATGTATTTAGCATGAATATCCACAGAACCAACATTGCATTTATCTGCCAAGGAACCAACATTTAAAAAAAAAAAATTTGCAACGCCTCCATATTTTTTTCCTTATCTTTCTTGAACTCCTCGTAAATAGCATCCATTTTTCAAACCACCAAGACACAGCCTGTCACAAAAAAAAAACTTGTAAAATCAAATGCTGCCTGTGAAACCAACTAAATGGTAGCTTACATATGGAATTGAAGTGGAATTTTAAATACCTATTTCAAAACCGGTACTACTTTTCATTAAGTTAACTACTTTGAAAGAAAGAAATACTTTCTTGAAAATTACATATAAGGCCTGGAAATAAAAGACAGAAAACAGTCTGCCTGATTAATACATTCCTGTGCATAGGAAGAAATTTCTGTGGCTGAAAGAAATTCAGTTCTAGAATTCTGAAGGTGTAATTAAAAATGTTTGGATTCCCAAAATGAGCCAGTATAACATCATCAGCAAATTAGCGAAATTGCAGTTTAAGTTAATAGTGCAAATATTTACAGATGCTGTACCACAGAAAAAAAACAAGTAAAACAATTCTAATCGGTTTTGAACATGTAAAAGCTAACTACTTCTGTGCATTTAACAACACCTTGAAAATAATCAATTTCACCACTGCCTATTTTCTCTTATTTCTCATGTGCCATACAGCAAGTGCTAAAGACATTTGATACCTTTTTAAATTTTTTTTCTTTTATTTTCTTTCTTTTTTTTTTTAATTATGATTAATAAAAGACAGAAGAAAATATACTATCCGGCACCAAGATGTAGAACGAACTATATCAAAGCCTTTTTCCAAACTTGAGTAGTTTCATTTCTAGCTGTCCTTTTGAATTCTTCCCTATTTACACACAATACTGAAGATGCAAAAAATAAAAATTAGCATTGCTAAAATCAATGAATGGAAAATTTTCAACTCACAACGAAGTTTCTTAGAGTCTTTATTCTCTTTCTCTTTTTCTTTGTCTTGTTTTTCCACCCCAGGGGAATCTGGTACATCATCTTCTAATGCTTCATCAGACTCTACTACCTATTAGATTTGAGAAGATATACAGTGATCCGTTTGCCAGTTCATAGAATATAGCATTAACACACACATTTCCACAGACAATTCTATAATATACATTTCTCACCCTATAATGATATTCAGTTGGTTCTTTCCTGAACTCTAGATGGTAAAAAGTATCTCCAGAGATTATACTATTCTCACTCGCAGATTGAATAACTTTGAGAAAGACTATTTGATCATAAGACCCAATAAAGAAGTTTTGCTGGATGCTAAAAAAAGTACAACCAGCCTTTCATGATAACACTTCATTACATCAACCAATAAACAATAGAAGTGTGAGGGTTTTTTTCAAATCCAGTAGACAAACACGAGTTATTTCATGGTCTGCTACAGAAGCAGTCTAAAAAACATTTCTAGAGCATTTACCCTATTTCTGATCACTGTAATTAAAATTTTCTCAATTGAAAATAATACTGCCAGTTCGAAAATTTCACCACTGTCAAAACATACACTGAATTCACTCTGGAAAAGTAAATATACCAGTTCCTAAAGTTCTTGCCCTGTGTTATTGGTCTCTCAGCATATTCTCATTAAACACAGTCAAGTGAAAATGTAGCTTATGTTGTAGTGCGGAGGCAGATGCCGGAGTCTGTTAACTGCCCACCTGCAGCCTCGTACCTATGCTACACACATGTATGTACACACATATCAGAAAATAGGAAAAGAAAATTCCTCTGGTCTCAGTGCAACATAGTGCCTTCCAAAACCGCGTATTTCCTACTTCACTTAGACTAAAGTGAACTTAATTTTTATGCAGCTACAAAAATCTGACTGTACAGTGTCTTTTCTTACAAGGAAGGACATTTTAAAAATAAGGCAAGGTTGCGCACTGCAGAGCACTGAAAGAGCAGAAGTATGACTTTATCGACTAAGTTGCACTTTAACTTGAAGGGTAGATGCTAGCTTTAAACCCCCTCATTCCCTGTTGCTTTTCAAAAGCTTTGGACAGCCTTTTTACACATCAAAGACCAATATACTCAACTGCCCAATTAATGTCTCTGCTAAGGATCCCTCTGCCACTGAGACCATTTGGACAGCGCTCTCTTCAAGAGGCCTCAAAGGTTTTCAGGACTGATAAATTTTAAACCTGTTAACTGCTTTGGAAGAAAAATCACCTGGAATCTAGTTTGCATTATAGAACAAGTCAAATCTAATAACTTGGAAATTTCTGTATGTAAAAAAGAGCAGCCACATCCTTTGCAAGTGGCTATTCCTCTTGTACAGCCTATTACCAGAGCAGCCTGAAGGAGCAAAGAGACCAGAATCTAGTCTGTACCTTCTTTTGACAAAGATCTCATCACACTAGAACTAGCACCTCTGTCCTGGAAAAGAGAACCAGCCACTATACGATAAAGTTCCCAAAATTAAAAGTTTGCTTCAGATCTTCAGTGGTCCAAATTATCAGGTAGTCTAACAATGTACTTTTTGAACTTCTCCTGTGTAATCTCAAGTCTCTTGGCTACCAGCTCCCAGCAGCAATATATGACCGTTTCCTCCAGAGTGCTGATAAACTCTCCGTATTCCACCATTCACTTCCTCAACCTACCACATAATACCTTGCCCTCATCTCAGCATCTCTCAGCCTTTCCACCTTTGTTTATATTTAAGCAGGGAAGAAGTGGCCTCAGTTGCATTACATGGGGCAGACAGGAGAAGGGTATCGCTGACTGACTGCCTTGCCTGGTTATTAGGGGTATTGACATTTTCATACCAAGAGAGAGCAGAAGAATAGGAGCCTAAACTGTGAGCACCCAGAAAGAAACTAAACCATTCATACTAGCCTGCTGCGTTTAGGTGGAAAAGACCCATATGTGGAACACTATCAGAGCTACGAAAAATAAAGGCCACTAACATCGAAAGCAACATAAATGCAGCTTATGGGCAGCAGCCAGGCCTGTAACCACAAAAATTAAGAATACACATGCAGTCAACTTGATATAACAGAATCACAGAATCACAGAATTTTCAGAGTTGGACCTCTAGAGATCATCTAATCCAAGCCCCCTGCTAAAGCAGGATTGCCTAGAGCACATTACTCAGGACTGCATCCGGGCGGGTTTTGAAAATCTCCAGAGAAGGGGACTCCACAACCTCCCTGGGCAGCCTGTGCCAGTGCTCTGTCACCCGAACTGTAAAGAAGTTTTTTCGTGTGTTGGAATGGAACTTCCTATGTTCCAACTTGCACCCATTGCCCCTCGTCCTGTCACTGGGAACCACCAAGAAGAGTCTGGCTCCATCCTCCTTCAACCCACCCTTTAGATATTTGTAAGTAGTAATAAGGTCTCCCCTCAGCTTTCTTTTCTCCAGGCTAAAGAGTCCCAGCTCTCTCAGCCTTTCTGCATAAGGGAGATGCTCCAATCCCTCAATCATCTTGGTTGCCCTTCGCTGGCCTCTCTCCAGCAGTTCCCTGTCCCGAAATAACAGGAATATTTTCTCCAAGATCTCCTCCATCTTCTGAATTCAAAGATGGTAAATCTTGTTTGGCAATATCAAGAGCAAATGCTTGATCACCTTCCTGTTGATTAAATAGTTGGCATTATGCTGTCTGATAAGAAGAGATAATACAGTATTTTGCCAGACCTTTTAATTTGCACTTCAATGCAGCCTTAAGTGAATAGCAGTATCAAATGCCAATTAATGTATGTTATGAAGCACTCCCTTGGCTGTTCGTTCCCCTTTACTCCCCCTCTATCCAAACCTTTCAGGTCACTGAGACAGAGCAAGTATTTGGCCACAGAAGGAAGCCCATTCCTGAGCTGGAGGTCAGCCCACATCTCCTGGTTCTTAATCCAGTGGACCGTCCACCAGGAACTGCCATATCCTCGACCTCCTGCCCACACTCAAGAAAATCAGGAAATGAAGCTGTACATGAAGCACTAGCAGTTGCTACATCAATTATTTTACTAAATAACATGACCTTGAAAATATAGCCTTCATGATTCAAACACATACCTGATTGTTGATGGTATAGTTAAGAACCTTATACCATTCATTAATAAAGCTGTCATTATCGGATTGAATTAAGAGCTCAGTTCCTTGGCGGGTTTTTAGCTTTAAAGAAATAAAAACAGGTATCATCAGAATTGATAAACACACTAGAATTCAAAAGTGAAATTACCTAAAGCAAATTAAACTTCAAGTCGGCATACCTTTTAGATAATATATAGCCACTCAAGAACAATTACCAGTAAAAACAGTAAATAGCAGTCTGCTTAAAATTTAAAAGCATATCCCATACAGATATATTAAAAATGGACATTTCTTGCAGGTACTAAGATACATCTACATTTGAGCAGGAATAAACATAGAAAACTAAAAGTCTTGGATTTTAAGTTTAAAGAAAATTTCCTAAGTCATTAAAGTATACATAATTCTGCATTTAAATAAAATAATTCACCTCAATAACATTCTTTTTGCTGGATTTGTCCTTTGAAGCCCAGTCAATCAATGCCCCTTTGAGATCCACTGTAAATTCTGGCTTAGACTGATTGACACCAAACTTCTGGAAAAAAAGGAACAATGATGACAAACTTAAAAACAAAGAAACTTCTAACAGGTACATAGTCTTGCAATCCTCTAAATATTATTTACAGTCTATACAACTTAACCCAAATACAGTACTTTGCCACAAATCAACAGGCACAATACCAGGAAAACAAAAACCACACACAAAACACCCTTTAAACATTCCTATTAAAAGCAGCTCTAAAGCCCTTAAAATTCTCTAACTTTAAATGCCAACCAGATTCCATCAGAGCTTTTTTTCCTGTCACAAATGGTAGAAGTCCATACACTGATTGTAGCTTGATTTTAGTCAAGACAGCCCCAAGCTTTAAACAAAACTAGCTAATAAGTAACTGAACAAAAATACCATTCTGTCAGCTAATCAATGGTTGTAAATAAAACCAAAAATCAAACCACAAATAGTAGCTTTGCTAGATAGGAGTCACATCACTCCTGCACTGAAAAAGCACTTCCAGATTTTCGTAATAGATCTATTTCGTGTATTTTTTTTTTTTCCAATAATGCTTTTCATGTTATTTTACATTTTTCTGTAGTGCTTGTATTGCAATACTGGAGCATATCCTAGCAAGCAAACAGAACTCAATTTCACTGCCTAGCTACTAAACAAACAGCAAATAACCCAAGTAATAAAGAAGCATTTAACCCACAAGTAACCCTTCAAACAAATTGGAGGAAAAACGTCAGGGAGCTATCTTTACCTACTACTTTTACATTTATACTAGGTACCACAATTCTTTAAAATAAAGTACTTTTACTAGGGTTTTAACCTACACCACATAGCTTTGAAATATCATTCCTCAAGGAAAACAATTCAGTGACCCGTACAAACAAAAAGCTCTAATTGTGAGTAAAATAAGTAAAACACAGAACAGCAAAAGCTGAAAGTCGCTTGGTTGTAGCGCAGAATGTAGTTCTAAGGGAAGCTTGTAGCATCTGATCCATCAGAAAGGTTCTTTTCTATTTCTTTCAAAAGTCTTTGATGTGTGACTGCTGTTCGTGTGACAGCTCTGGGGGACGTACGCCCCAGGACAAGCTCCGTGCTGCGAACACAAGTTTCCAGCACGTACAACAGCAGCCATATCCAAGGGGAGAAAAAACGGTTCAGAAAACAGAACTAATCTGCTGCTTCTGATTAAATTCCCAGCATGGATGTTAATTAATGCTAATTGTGTTTCAGAAAGGCTGTTTACCACTGGAAAAATCTCCCTGCCTTGAGTCCTAAGGGCAATTAAGTGTTGAATGGAAAGTAGCATCTTAACTTCTTTATTTTACCCTTGAAATATCAGAATAGGAGAATACTTCTAATTTACCCAATGCCAACTAGCACTTGGGAAAAAACTCCCAAACCTTCCTGTCTCTAACTTAATTGTCAGATACCTCATCCAAGAACATTTCTTATTAATTACAGCAGAGCTTTTGAGAGAGGCCCAGCTCAGCAGCAGAGACCGCAGGAACAGGAACAATCCCCGGGCCATTCCGGCTCTTGCAGTTGTGGGTGGCTGTGCAGCACCTGCCTGTTTCAGAGAGATTCACATAACTGCCTCACATACAACCAAAGTGTCCCAGCCACACACTTCCTGACAGCCTAGATCAACCTTGCTGCATGTTGGGGGGAAAATAAAAATACAAAATCAATTTCTAGAGTTTGGCACTGAAGAGAGCAGGAGCCGAGTGCCAAAGTCCTCCGCAGGATCGGGGGGGAACTGTTTAAAACACTGCCCAGACGATTCTCAGAAGCACGGGGGATGACCTGCTACAGGTGACATTGACAAATAATAACAAAAAAAAAACCCCAACGCAACAGCCACTGCTGTTTTGACCAAAAGGAAAGCCCTCCAATACATTAGCTTGCTGAACTCCCCACCTGACAGATGGCACTACTACCTCAAATGCCTTTGCACTCCCCATCTTTTTCGCCCAACTCCCTTCAGCATTTCAGAGAAGCACAGAACAAACAAGAAACTAGAAGCTAAATTTCTCAGAGCAGGAAAAAAAAAGTCTCTCCCTGCTCCTTTACACAAGCAGTGCCACAGCTGCTATGTACGATCCAAGGATGGGGAAAGCCACGCAAATAATCCAGCCTCTCTGCAAAGCTCCTCTGATATACCAATACATTATATACTCATCACAAACTTAATTCCATTATTCAAGGAAATTTTAAGTTTAGCATGCTGGCTCTCCCATGAGCTTTCCCGTCAAGCTTCTTTTCTGCTCCTGAGCATATGAAAACAAGATGCCAGCAGCCATTTCCCTCCTTGAAAGCTTCCAGGAGCAAGTCCTGGAGAGGGCTGCTCGGGTGCTCTGCATACAAAGGTTCGCTAAAGGCAATCGAACCCTCCTGACGCAAGCAGCCTTTGTTGAAAGCAGTAAAAAGAAAACCTTTCCCTTTAGCATCTGCTGCCACCTAGACATAAAGCTTGCTCCCTCAAAACAGACTGCACTACCAAGTCAGCACTAGTCAGGATAAATTCAGTTCTTGCCGAGAAGACACCTTATTCTTACTGGATTTCTCTTTTGAGCTGTCTGGGAAGTCTGGAAAGGCAGAAAGAGGGAAAGGTCTATACGTGGTGCTGCCAGCTGTCCTAGATATGAAGCTGTCCTAGAGTCACTTCTGACAGCTTTCTTAGGGAAAAAAGTGTAGTCATGGGATGTGTTTGTGCTAGCTATATGGCAGACAGAACTTCTACTTTTTTGAAATAATAGGTTTGTGAGTTTTTCACTTTAGACATAGTAGATGCTGCGTAGCATAAGGACTGCCTTAAAGATGTGCGCTACATCAATAAATAGAAGGCCTTTTCAATCTTTTCAGGAGTTTTCTCCAACTTCTGGAAGCCTCCACAGGACAAGCCGCACAGTCCACATTGTGACATATTCCAGAATTCTTTGGAAATAGAATTGGATCTTACTTATGGAAAGACTTTGGATGTACACGTGACACCTGCCATTCTTGTAATTCTGTTTCTAATTAGAGTTGGGTAGAACATTTTAATTCCAAGTCCTCCTCACATGTGGATGGACCGCAGAAATAGAACTGAGGAGACTGACACTCCTTTGTGACTGGTAAGGGAGCTTCAGAATTTACTGCTTTAATAAAAAAAGGAAAATATAAAGATATTCTTTATTGTCATAGCAAAATGATGGAAGTTTTTCAAAACCAGACTCTGACAGGAGTATTTGCATTCCGAATAGTTTTCATGATAATCGTCTGAGCTCCTGTATAATCAGCTGTGCAATTCTGATGAACTGTAGTAATGTGCATATAACATCCTTGGCTATATACACAGCGAACAAGATTTTGCACCCAGATGAACCTTGAAGAGCGTTTATCTCCTTGATGTTTGAGAAGTTTACCCACTTTTGGTTAACCACCACTGTACTTGATACTGAGGACATGCGCCCATTACAGAAGGTTGACAGATGAATCCTTCTAAGCAGTTACCACTTGCTGTGTTTTATGAAGCCCCATCGATAAAATCTGGCAATAGCTATTACAACTCATTTACTCCAAAAGTTGAGACACACCTTCTTCTAACAGTTGAAAATTTAAATTTCTGTGAAAAGACATGTTAAAAAATCCACAGATTTCCTTATAGAAAGTAGCATTTTAAAGAACACCATACTGTGTACAAATTATCTGTTCCAGGCTTCCACATACATAGCAATGAATTTGACAGACAAAGAAAAAGCAGTTGTATCATTTTTAGCACAAAGGTTAATAAGAATAAGCCTACAGTTACCCCTCCTTACAGGGGAAAAAAAAAAAATAAATTAAGGTACCAGTCATCAAAACAGTCATTCTGGAAGTATCAGGAATCTTAACCGACCTCAAAACACATAGCGCTCACTCTCTACTCTTCAAGTAATACAAGCCAAGATACCAAAATAGTTTTAAACATCACCAACACTTCAAAATCCTCAAGAAGTCAAATTATTGAAACATTGCTTTTAATGTCTTCAGCATATGATTTTTTTCCAAGAAAGGTTTAGTTTGATTCTGATAATAGTGCTAAGAAAGCCACATTAAAAACCAGTTATGCAACCAATCAAGCTTGTTTCTATCTTCTAATACTAGTATCATTATCTACACTCCTCCTCATCCACCTTGAGGAACAAGCTACCATATTAGCTACCAACACTTTATCAGTTTCTGATAAGCAGCACTTCGATGCTCGGCATCTACACTTCAAAACACAACCAACTACAGATGCTTAAATTATATATAAAAGAGTCCTAGAAATTTACATCAGCTTTCTGTATGTGGCATATAGCCAGAACATCCTTGAGGTTTTTTCCTTCCAGCTTTTTATGCATAACTTTTACATTTTGGGGTATTCCAATTATACCTAGAATTAACCAACAACATGTACATCATTGTATCAAAGGCATCATAGGCACCTTACAAACATCCTAAATTAGTTGTGTTAGAAAGAATTAGACATAAAATATCTGTTAAAAAACGGACCATATCATGCTGTTTATTAGTCAAGATACTAGTGGTAGAAATAGTAGGCAAATTTGGGATTATAATTCTGGCACTGATGAACCAGATACTCTTTCTACTTTGTTCCATTAGAACAATTACAGGATTATTGCAATACACTTGGGTTAATTTGCACCTTGGATGACTTTCAGCAAACAGGATACCCACGGCATTATATGACGTGACAAAACTTAAACCTTGGAAAAATTCAAATTTACTTTCAAGATTAGTGGCAAATAGCCTTACAGTGACAAGAGGCATGCAACAAGAACACATACAGTGATAGCTGAAACTTGGTCAGAGTTTACATAGGTGACAGCAGGTCGACGACTGAGAGCATTTTTCCAAGAAGAAAGCAGCGAGAGCAAGAGCTCAGGAATTGAGCCCCCTTGGCAAAATGACTTGATGAGAAAAAGGAAGAAAAGTGATGAAGTCACAAAGCAATGCACAGAAAAAAAGATATGGTTATATCAATTACTAGTCGAATGCTAAACAAATATTCTTCTCATAAGATGAAGAAGAAATGTAATTCTTATCATATGTCAAACTGTTAGACTTTACTTCACCTTATTAAAATACTGACACAGATCAAAGTTTGAGAGGTGAGGTGGAATTTAACACCCCACCAAAAAATTCAGAGCGCAAAAAGAGTGTGCGCTGAGTATTTGATGTCATATTTACAAACCCAACTGTGAATATGCAGATATACAACACAAAGTCTTTGAAAGAGATTCTCCTTTAATATTTCCAGTTTCACTTTATCCTGTTCATACTGTTGATATTTATTTTGCAGACCCTACTCCAATACTTGACAGTACACATACCTGACAGTGTCGCACAGAAATATTGTGACTACAATACTTTTGCTTCACTTAAATTACCAAAAGAAATTACGCCTTTTTTTCCCCCCACCAAATGACTGCATTTGGAAGGTGTAACGCAACTTAGACTAGTATCCCTAAGCAATAAGCAGAGTTGTACGATTATCTTTTGTGGATTAATTCATTTGGGCACACATTCATTTATAACAGTATGATACATTCATAAACAGCATCTTAGTTTAGCACTGTGTGCTTTAATGATATCAACATATAGTTAAAATAACGGGGATTTGATCTACAGCTACATTTGGATTAAGAGCATTAGTAGCTGTAATAGAGGTTTTGGAACTTGATTAGTTACTCAGGTGAAATGCTTTACTTTCCAAACATGTATATTTATACCTCATAAAACTAAAGTAGGTTTTGGATGCTTAGCTATAAATGTAAATTGCAGAAGTTACCATTTTCCATCATTAATATTAGTCTACTGCAAAAATAATAGTATTCTTTGTGCATTGAGACTAATATCAAAGCCCGCCTCAGAATGGCTAGGAATTTTCCATTTTATGAAGTAGGGTGATGAAATTGAACTTGACTAAACAATAGACAATGACTGAAGGGCATGAAGGAAGGTAAGGGAATGAGTTTTAAAGCCTTCCAAAATCATTCCAGTACTTCCTGCTTCAAAGCTCACCTTTTAAGGTTCTTCAATATTTCTTCAACACGCTTTGTTATAAAAGTTACATTAAAAAAAAATTCACAAATTCTCTTTAATTTCTTATTGGCAATATTTTTCTCACTGATGAATAATGGTAATTTCATTTACCAAATGCGCCAACATTTACAGGTGGGAAAGTCAGTAACTTTCAGATATATACCTGTTTCTATGCCTTTTTCTGTGCTTTGTCTCTGATGTACATCACATTCTCTTCCCCTCCCTACATACGGTGTGGGCAGACCGCCATAGATCACCAAGTCCACTTCCTATCAGACAGCATAATTTACCTAATCTCATGCCTTTAATATTCCTTCCCTTCTCTTTCTTCCCTCCTACTTGACCATCTTGTCCAACTTTACTCTTTCTGTTCTCTTCTACCCCAAATGTTATTTATCCATCCTCAGCCTTTTTCTATTTCCAACCACCCCTTCTACAGCAACAGAAGGGAAAAAAAATGACGTTTACCGCTCCAAAATTAACTCAATGCTTTAGAAAAGAATTATCAATACCAATTCACTACACAAAAAGAAGCACAGCATGAGAAAGCAAGCCAAGTAGAAAGATCAGCGAAGCGCAGCAAGATAACATATAACTGTAAGATGCAATTTTGCTGGAATTTGCAGGATAATACACTGAAATAACTAATACTGAATCTGACCTCTCTTTAGTTATTGTAGGAGATCCACACAGTTTAATGTCAGACCTCCAAAAGTAGGTAAGCCATAGATAAAGAACCATTTCTGTACCTATTAATGTAGGAATGCAGCTGGATAAATATAGCAAATTTAACTACAGTGCTATTAAACTAGAGATGATATAAAAACTGAATAATCATCATCTTCAGTGTAATGTTTCTCTTTAGGTCTTCATCAGACATCAAAATAGATACAAATACTTGTCATGTACTATGCAGATATTAAAAAAAATATGGAATCCAAATGATAAAACAACAGTGCTACATTATTCAAATAGTCCAATGCAACAAGCCAAGTGTCAGACTAATTCTTTATTACATGTATCATAGTCAACATTACCTGGAGTTTAGGAAAAAATAACCAAGAATGGTAAAACAAACAGTTTAGATAAACACATTAGTAAGGAACACAAAAATATTTGGCCAGAAGCAAAAACTTCAAGCTTACAGGGCACACCTGAATACCTCTTTATCGGTTTCTTACTTATCAAATATAGAAAATTTTCTGAAATGTAAGAAAGTACAACTTGCTTTCTTCTCATTCGCCACCATAATTGTTACATTAAACTATTTTCCTGCTAACTTACACACACTTATTTCTTCTAAATTATGCATGCATATCGGTATTTAAGCCCTACAAATAAGAGGGCTTTAATTTATTGTGCTTTACGCGATTAACACTTAAATAAGGGTGGGGGTTGGTTTTGAGCTTACCCAGCCAGTTCCACTTCCTTGGGTTTTAGTGAACAGCAGTGATGAACCTTGTAACACTGCCCATGATGACATCCAATTCTTTCTGTAAATATTTGTAAACAAACATAAGAAATTATCTTTGAAAGTAGACATTTAAGCTGTCGATCACTGTTGCCCAGCTAACATGTGTGTTAATATACTTAACCATATATATGGTCATTAGTGCCATCAGTAAGTCTTAATTGCTATCGTATCTGTAGAAGGGACCATATGTTAACAGTCCCAGCCTGACCATCAAAGTCTAAATCAAACAAAGCTAATTAGTAGTGGAAGCAGTTCACCAGGAGAAACACCATACAATTATAATTTCAAAGGGGCTAATCTGGAACACTCAGCCTACTGTGTACTTAGTAGATTATGCCAAAGTACTGCATAATTCTGAAATTGATTGATCATATCTAACTGGGCTGCAAGTGTCTCACGTTTTTGTAATCTCATTTACATTGGCAATAAGATATTTGCTACACATCTAAAAAATGCAGAAAAAGAACAAATGAGTTGTTCCAGCTGTCTGACTGTTTGCTTTTATGCATGAGTACCTGTCCTCCTGAGGTTAAAAAAATAAAAATTTTGACAAGCCCTGACAATCTATTCCCATTGCCCAAACATGAATTGTTATTCAACAGCTCTCAAAGTGACAGGATGGCCATGTTGCATCTTTCTGTGCAGCTGCCCAGTAGTGCAGATCAATGATTCCAACAGATGCAACGTAAGTGGTGAGAGTATACTGTACCAGTAGCAGCTTACACGAAGCCATTGTCCACCCTCTCCTACCAAGCTCTTAGGAGCAGCTCTGAGGAACCAAACTGGGGGTCAGATTGCTGCCCAGCTGCACTGGACTAGGTCAGGGTGGCTCTGGAAGATCAGCTGGGTGCTGACAATTTAATCCTCAAGAAAAGCGTGCTTCATGTACCAAAGGTCTGGGAAACACTGACTTAGATAACACAGTATTAGACCTAAAAGATTAAATTAAAAAAATTAAAAGTAAAAAAAGTAAAAAGTAAGCCTAAATGAAATCTGAGGATGTGCCACACTTACGCAGTGTTTAACACTGACTCTTTGCAAAACACCAGAAATATAAGTTAGACAGCATTACTTGATTATACATTATGATTTACAATGTAAATGGCCTGACTGTGAGGCAAACAAAGGAAGTAAGAAATTAGGTCATTCATCACCTACAGAGACACCAACACTGGGTGATACATTCTGCTTCAAACCCTTCACTAGCAGAGTGAAGGAAGAATAAGGGACCACATGACATGTACGCTCCTTGGAAATTAAAGGAGATGAAGTGAACGTCTGAAAGCCCCTCTTACAACTGATTCTATCCAAGGAACATATGTATAGGCTATAACCTATACATATTTTCTCTCAAATAAATAAATCAATCCCGTTTCAAAAAGCTGTCTCTCATCATTACACTGTCCTGAAATCACTGCCCTGTGTGGAGCCCTGGCATACATGAGTCTCTGGCTCTCTGTAGTCCATTATCTTTAGCTCACTGGGAGAAACACATACTTTGGGACAAGGAAACACTGTGTCGTATAGGAAAACCTCTAAGGCAAATTCAGACAGAAAGTGAGAATGTTGTCCTAATATAAAAGCCAGATGGCCTACGCAAACCCTTATGCACATGTACTTCAAGAAGTCGAAGACTTACCGAACTTTCTTCCCATTTTCTGTAATTTTTGTCACATTCAATAACCCGTACTTCTCTTGACCCTGTAAGACAGAGTAAGACATAACAAATATAAAAGAAAATCTGCTTTTATTGCCATCACGGCACTGAATTCAGTCCCCCAAATAATCAGTTTCTGGCAATGAGCCATCTTTGCCCATGTTACAACTTCAAGAAATTGTCTTAAGTATATTTAAACATGCAGAGATCAGCAAAAACAAAATTCTTCTGGGAAAGTACTCATTAGCATTCAGAGGCTAAAAAGTTTTCCTTCTTCAAGGCCCAGGTTCTTTGGACAAGCCACACTAAACAGTGGAAATTTTAAATGTAAATTTATAATGATTTGTGTAATAGCACATTTGTGTTTGTATCTCTTACGAAAAAAAGGAGATGGCTGACAAACAAACAGCCTAAATTCTCTGACAAAATTCTTCCAAGTTATTTTTATTTAAAATATGCAATTATGTTAAACGTGGCTGAAATGCATAAAAATATTAACATATTCATTTCAAAAACAGATGAGTGAAACATTTCTTTGATGTCCTATTTTTTCCTACCCCCAAGCAAAATATTAGAATTTTAAACTACTTAGTTACGTCTTGTTGATGAAAATAATTTATATTGGTATGCCTCTGTACAAATTTGGAGATGAGTCAGTGAACAGTGGAAAAAGAACACCGGCAAACAAGAAGGGTGTTTGCAAGTTTCAAATATTTGGAGTGAATATTTCTAGTTTCTACGCAAAAAAAAAAATATATATATATATATATATAAAAAGGAATGTTTGAAAAAATATTCTAGGATAAAAAGGAAAACCATTGATTTATACCATTTGTGACTCTGAAGATGAGGTAACAAATTCTATCATTTCCTTTCGTCACCCCAGCCTCGTCCTACTAATGAATGGTGCTAAAGGAATGTTAAATTATTTTTTTAATCAATTCTTTTCAGAAACAGCTTATAAAAGTTCCTAATTTAAGAACTAAGCTATTAGTTGAAACAATAAACTAGGGAAGGCATCCGAATTAGTTTTATTATAACAAAAATGTCTTCAAGTCTAGATCCAATGAAAACAGAAGATACATCCTCTTCAGCATTTTCCTCTAAATCTCAAATTTAAGTGGACCATAACTGCAGAATAAAATATCAAAGAGAAATTTGTTGCTGGAATACTGTGACGACACTCTTACCAAAGACATAGATCTGTCTTTCACGAACCTTAAAAATTTTACCTACATGTTTCAAGCGCAGCACATAAAATACAAAAAAGATATGGTTTTAAGCATAATAGTGTTTAGCTGGTGGTTCAGATGTTATTTCAGTCCAATGGTAATTGCTACTCTTACTCTATTGAACATCTCTATTGGGCTGGAATGCTCTCCCAAGCCAGTGGGATATTGAAAAACAGTACATTGTTTTTCAAAACTGACACTTTCATAGCAGAAATGAGTCACTTTCCTCACCCACCCTCCAAAAACAAACAAAAAAGTAGCCCATTCTTTAAATCCCTTTGTGATCCATGCAGACCACCACTAACAGCCCTATGCACTGCACCCTTCTAACAAACCTTTGGCTTTACTAAGTGGAATGGGCTGTCGCAATCTTTCACAGTGACTGAGCAACTTATGCCCACTTTCTCAAATAAATCATGGTTTTAATAAACTACTCATGGGGTAACCAATGGGAATGGTCCAAAGAAGAATTATTCAGAAAAAGTATCATAATGCCCTACTTAGCAGCAACACTAGGGGGTACTACTGGGAAAATTAATGTAATCGGGGAAAAGGATGTGGAAAGCAAGTTAAGAATCAGAATACACAAAAATTCACCAGCTTTCTTTGTAGTATTTAAATCCCACGGGACAGCTAAAGAAAATCCAGATTATTTTTCTATTATCTAAAGCAGCAATGAGTTCTTCTACAGAATACAAGTTTAATAATTCAAGGTCTGACCCATATTTAAAGAAATGAGAATACATGCAGCAATAATTGCTTGCATGTAAGGCTATCAACTACGCTTGCTTAATAAACAATGTTTATCTTATTGTGGAAAACTGTTTGAAGTGTTGTAAGAATGGATTAGCGTGAATAAGCCAGAGAACCATTCCTTTGTGTGCAGAGTAAGAATGAAACAGAAGAAGTTGTACCTTTAATGCCCTAAGCTACATACTAAGGGGCTGCTAAAATTGATCACGCCATATATTTCAACGCTACTGTAGTACAGTTCCAAAATTACAAAAAGGATAAAAACTTCATTTAATTATTTCACACTGTTTAAAAAGCAATGGTCACATTTAAAATAAAAACTGAAGCAAAAAATCTGTTAAACATTCATAACAAGTTTAACAAGCTTAAGTTTTCCTCCCAGTAGTTATTCTAAATCAAAAAGACATAGCTTATTTATGCCAGGTCCTCTATGTCTTTTCAAGAAGACTGAAACACAAGTAAAAAATAAAGATATCAAATACTACAAACTATTACTGACTACTGACAGTGAGAGATTCTGGGGAGAATGTGAGTTTGTTTCTGCTTTTACCTTCCAAGTTGCTAGGTGAGAAGACATGATTGTTGGAGGAAGTAAAATGAGGTCTACATAATTTGACATGACTTTATTCCACAGTGATTTTTTTTTAACCTAATCTCCTATCGCTAAGCTGTATTTAAACCAAAGATATTTACATTTTTTCTGAAAGCACAGTTGGATGCAATGCATTCCTTTTAAAATGTAAAGCCTTCAAATAGTTTTATCCCGTTATTTTTCTCGATAACAAGCAGGCTTACCCTCAATTCTCTAATCATGAATAGCCCAGTTTCTACAACATCTACTTATCTATTTAAACACTTTGCATACTGACTGTGGCTTGATGCTTTGGTGAAGAAGGAGAGGACTCATTTTCAGGAAAACTGGCCTTAGAAGCAGTTGATGATTCCTACAAAATTCAAATAGACAACATAAGTTATTATCTTTCTTACAATTCTTTTATTATTTTTTTTTACCCTAAAGATGCCCTCTCGCTTTACACACACTCACACGTGACAAAAAAAATGTACTTTTTTAAAGTTTTCGTGATATTCTCAGATAGTTATAAATCTGCTTACTAAACAACATTCTTATAAGATTTACAGAGAACACTCAAACTGGGTTAATTAGCACACATCCATTTGAAAAAAAAGTTAATACCTATTGTATCAGCTTAAAGCAAAGCTTCCATCCTTATTAATGGGCAGATTTTTTGTATGACATTGCTAGCAAATTATGAAGCACATTCATAATATTAACTTATTACAGGGCACCATATAATAAATACTAAGATTTTAAAGAACAGATTATGTTTCTGTGTGGTTAGTAAATATAAGATTAGTACAAAAAATTGTTGTAGACGTAGAAAAGCATATAGCAGCTCTATTAATTTTTCTGAGTCACGATCATTAATTTCCTTATAATCAAGCACTGAAAATTTCTAGAGATTCAGCTTTTGTTTTAAACTAGATGCTAACTACAGACCAAATGAGCGTACTAAATCCCTGAAAACTAGAAAAATTGCCTGTCTGGAACAAAAAAGGTATGTGCATTTCTTCTGAAGTAATGATTGCTTTGCAAAAATACACTGCTTGAAAATCTGGGAAAGAATTTCAAACAGAAGAAAAACACTTGTCCTCTGTTACTGTTAACACATTTCTCCCCCTCCCTCTCTTTAATTCCCTTGATAGCTCTCCCAAATTCAGTTTGCTTTTCCAGCATTACGTAACACTCTGCACACCCGTGCTTTAAAATCCACTTGTAAATCTACCTACAGAAGTGGCCCACTAGTTCTTTTAGCAGCATAATAACAGAGAACATTAGCAATCCTAAAAACAGCCTACGTGTTCCATATTTTCCGATGTCTGTAGGGAAAAAAAATAATGTTCAAATTAAGGAAATCAACATTGTCTCTCCCAGGAAGGTATTTTTTCCTCTGCTTACCAATCTTTTTAGATGATAGCTATACAAAGGTATGTGCCACAGCCAATAAACAGTTAACAAGTATATCTGATATCATCAAATTCTGTCAGCCATGGCAACCCATACTTTCACTCTGACACATTTCAAGCGCTCTTTTGACTGGTTTCTTTTCATAGAATTGTGTTGTTTTTCCAAGAAAAAAAACAAATAAGGAAAATAAAAAGAAAACAGCTTCCCTAGGAGTCAGCTAAAAAGCTAACTTGTAGTTGATGTGTCTATCCAGCCCCATACCAGTTGTTTTTCTTTCTGTTTCATTCTGAGTTTGAGCCTTCATACACTAAGCAACTCTGGAACAAGAAATCCAGTGTTTATGGTCATGAACTACTCCCTTTCCACATACTAATTTAAAGCAGAATATATCAGTGTGACTGCCAGTGGTAATAAAACAGGTGCATTAATGCACTAAAAAAACTTTTTCTTTCCACAAAACACTAGTTTATTGCTCCACTACACATTTTCCATTTTCTCAAAGCATTAACATTGTGCTTTATATGAACTATATAGTCTCCTTACCATTAAAAAATCCATGCTGCCTCCATGTTTTGAAGCTATTAAATGAAATCTAAGGTACTGACTTGGCCTTTACAAATGTGGCTCATATATACAGTTTCTTTTGGTTATTACACTAGACATTTGTACACTTCCATGTCTGCTTCACCAGGTTTAAGGTCTTGGTATTTGAACATTGGATCTTGAAGACAAGTAAACAACTCTATTTATTCAATATTTTACAAGAGCTTTTTCATTTAGTGCAGTGCTACATAAAGATCGTTCCAAACCAGAAATGTATCTTTATGCCAAAAAATTAAAAGGTAAGTCACCCTTTAAAAGCGAGGCCAAAACTTTAAGCTATCTCCAACAGAACTGTTCATACCTGTGAAGTGTAAACTGCACGCGAGGCTACAAGTGTCCACTCAGCTTTGATTCCATCTAGGCTGTCTCTCATGCAGTGCCACACCACGCTCGGTACAGAAGGATGGGTACAGAGGTGGAGGGAGGGGAAAGGAGCAGTAGAGGGACCTCAGAATCGCTCGAGCTAAACTAATGCGCGCAGGTGCAAAGTCTCCAGCCAAGCACAGTCCACTGCCTCCTCAGCACCACACATGATATATTCTAAACTGACAGCTCAAAAGCTTAAGATCAAATCCAATAAATCCTATTCTGAGGAACTAAGTCAACTCATGACAACCCACTCTCCTACACTCCATTTCAACAAGGAAAGTCATTAAAACATACCGGAAACAACAGGCTGAGCAAGTAACATTCTGGGCAGCAGATCCATTTTAATTACAACTACTGTGTTTTGCCCACTTAAGTTTGTCTTTGACATCTGCAATTACACAGGCCCACTTATATGCTTTTCTCCATACTCCCAAATCTATAGTCATTTAATTCCTCCCTGTATCTTTAGAAAAGGGGAGCTTACGATGCCGTTTCCTGGTATCTCATTCTGAGTAGTCTGTGCTAGGATTTCAGCATTACAAAGTATTTCCGTTTCCATGAATCTTGGGATGGACTGCTGCAAAGTTACAGAAACCAGCAAGTCACCACCCTACAACACCCGTTTCAGTTCCTCCCTGCTCAGCTCACATCAGCTCTCCTCACCCACGGGCAGAATGTCCCACACAAGCCGTAACAGCTGGGACAAAAATCAAACCGGAGGGAGAGCAAGGGAGAGTCTCTGTCTCCCTGTTGGCCTGAACAGCATCTGTTACTGTACAGCCCAGAACGGACTATCAAGAACATGCCCTAAGAAAATTTCAATTCTATGAATATTTCAATTATTCATCTGCAGTCTTTCAACTGTATTCCTACTTAGCGTTTCCTACAATTAAGACATTCGGGTGTGAACTATCACTATACCTTACATGAGAACCTCACACACATCCATAATTTTTGAATTCAAACCTTAATTACATTCCATAGCCTTAACTGAATTGGGAAATTCCCAATTATAAGTAAAATGGCTGTACACACCAAACCCTGAACTAACACTAGTTAAAATACTTCAAGGATAACAAGAAAAGAGCTACTACTCACAAAGTAATGGTAGTAAAGTTATTGAATAGCCTTTGGTTTTGCTGAATGTTATAGACAATGATACAACAGAACGTAAGAAAAAAGAGATTTCAGAAATTCATGCATACTGATTTCTGTTAGATTAAATACTTCATAGATCAGAAACAGCTGGTATTCCAGAATGCTGTTTAACTTGCTCCTACCTTATCGTTGGTGTCCAACACAATTGTGCTGTGCCTCCATTTTGTTAAAACTATTGGTTCTTGTAGCCTCCTGTCCAGACTCCTACTCTTTATTATATCTCTCTGCTGCTGTGGTGAAGCATTATACTAAAGAAGAGAAAAATCAAACTGTAAGTAGAATCTAATCCATGCAAACAAGACCTGGACATGTCACTCGTACACCTTAGCAGTGCAAACTTTCAGATTCCTGATGTCACCCAAGGGTGTGAAAATAGCCTTGGTTTTATTTTGCATTTAGTTTTCAGAACTGTCCTTTCTGCTGTAGTCCCCTCTGAGGCAGTAACTAAGACTGGACTGTTGGGATAATACTCTCCATTGGCAGACAGATGTTTGATTTCTTGTTCAACAGCTTACTGCTGGTTTTGCAACCAACCGGCATATTGAGAACCACAAAGGAATTAGAATAAATACAAGATTTAAACTGACAGTACTATACTACCTGTCCAGCTCTTGTGTAAGCAAAGGAAAACCCTGTTATCCTGCAGTAAGACATTTTTAGATTAAGAGTTATGATTGCCTGGATACAACTCCCTTTGACCCAAAGGTTTAAAATGCCTAGGAGAGGACACACAGCGGGTAGGACTTGCTTTTTCAAAATAATCACATTGAATTAATTATAAAAGGATTTGCTGGTGTGGAACGTACATAAGCACAACAAATAAATATTTAGCAGAAAATAATTTTAAGACTCAGCAGAGCTGTAGTAGCCAAGCAGACAATGGATTTATCAGAACATAGGTCTTCTAAAAGCTCAAGAACATCCAAAGACGCATAGGCTAAGGAAAATGTGAAGGCCGTGAGAAAGACCCAGCATTTAAACAGATCTCAGCATTGCTGCATACTTAATAGTAGCATTGCCATTTTAAGTCATCACCAGCAGCACTGAGGTAGCATTATAAAGAATTATTAAAATATTTCAAATGAAGTTTAATACTGAAAATACAAAGAAGAAAAGGCAACATCAATGTATGGGGTTTTTTAAAAAGTCAATAGAAATAATGAGATTTTTAATAAGTGTCAGAAGACTAAAATCTGCATTCAGGAAGAAACATAAGGCAGCATTTGTAGAGTCATGTAAAGGACTAAATCCACAGGGTATGAAGTAACAAAGGAAAGTCAAGTGCCCTTTTTATTTAAAAAGGCTAAACTAATCATCTTTGCAAGCACACTGAATTGTATAGTTTTGCTACCAATTCCTTCTGTACGCTTGGAGCCTCAGGTCTTCAAAGACAGAATAATCTATACCTACACATACCAACGAAGCATGGCAAGAGTTAACCTAAATAACATAAGTGCTAAATTTGAGCTAAATTGTACAACGCAGTTACATTTATTGCCCAAATAAAGAACCAGCATTACTACTCCCATGGCAGACACTACGCTTGCGTTAGCTTTGTATTTTACTATGAATGGAGTTTGTGCTCCAGTAAGTCAATAGATGCTTAAAAGGTAAAAGATAACTTCCGTGTTTCATTAAATTATTTCAATACGCACAACAGTAGTAAAATACTCCCAAGTAAATGGATCTTGCAGTATTGAGAATAAAATTTGGTAGTTCGTGCACAAACAGAAATGAATTAGTTGTCACTGTTGAGATTCACTTCTGAGATTGCACTGACTTTGTATTGGGTTCAGCACATTTACATTCACACGACAACTGCTTCCTTACAATGGTGAGGTTTGCCCCCTTGTTAAATCAAAGCTGAACCATCATTCATGCTGCAGGGAATCTAATACCAGCTTACAGTCTTGTTATGGAAGTATCCACTCAGCAGATGCTCCTACAACTCAACCTGTGTCAGCAAGCTAAGCAATATGCAGCAAAAGTGCCTATATTACAACTAAAATCTAAACAATTTTCAATTAAACTATCTCTAAATTGCAGGTTGCCACAAGCTGCATTCCTTGCAGCAGTTCTAAAACATTTAAGTGAGCAACTCAAATATATTTCTTGCTATGAAATAACCATTTATTTCAGAAATACATATACACATTTCAGTGATACTGGTGAATATTATTTATGGAAATCCCCCATGCAATTTCCATTTGAGTAACTCGAAGAATTTAAGTTTAAACAGCCGAAGACTTATTTTGAAGTAGTATTCCTTGAATTTAAATCTACCTTAAAAGTTGGGATACAGGCACAAGCCCAATTACAGATGATCTACATTTAAAAGGTGCCTTTGATACCATTACAAGCCACCAGCAGTCAATTTAGCTAACAGACAATCTTGAAGGAGAACGGACCTGTAAAGTAATATGAAATTCTAGTTTTAACAAGAAAACAAAGGAACAGTATGAGGAGCTCATTAACAAAACACTGCTAATGACTCAGAACACTGAGCCGTGTATCTTAGCAGTTTAAGTAATTTACATTGGTGATACAGACAGCATTAGTAAACTAACAGGTCTTTAGAGGGAACATTTGACATTTTTGCCACATTTTCTCACATTACAGGTGTCAAGTAAACATTTTTTGCTCAAGCATTTATGGGGTTGGGGGAAGGAAGGTGTGTGTTTGTTTTAGTCATTACAAATAGTAGAACACACTACTAAGGGGAAAAAAGAAAAAGCTTGTGTATTTCTGGGCTCAACACAACCCTCCACTTTAAATGGACTGATCTGTGATGCCCAAAGAGAATCGCAGTGAGATACAGATACTGTTTCAGACTCTGCACTATCCAACCGATCCAACCATGCTCTAGATCAGGTCGAGCGCACTGGCTGAAGAGAAGCAGCCAGAGCTTTCAGTCGCCAGGTCAGATGCCTACACCCCTGCTACTCTTTTGTCTGCCCCATCAGCACCGCCTCGCTCCCCAGTCCTCCTAGTTCAAAAAGCCTTGCAGTAGTTTCAGGTCAGGTTCATTTACGGACACTCTATAGGACTCCCACCTGCAGAGCTGTTGCCTCTCCTACAGGTATTTACAGTGATATTTCCCACTGCTGTCAGCAGTGACAAGCAACTAGGTAGGGCCCTCCTTGCCTCGTGCAAAATCTTATTTTACATAACTCTAAGCAGGCTTCCTATGCCTGCCTAAGCCTTGGTGTAATCTTGAAAACACAGATTAGGCAAGGGCCATATATTGCAATAAAAGTGACCCATTCAAGATTACACACTGCCTGGTAGGACGATGTCTGCTACACCGTGTGCCTCAATAGCGTCTTCTTACGCTGCAATGTTATTTTCTTAATTCTAAAGCTTTTGATAATGTAGCACACAACTCCAAATATACACACTACTGTTCCTTGAAAATCCTCCACAAACTCAAACTTGTCCCATTACATACCGCTCTGGCACATCCAGTCTGTTTGTTCCCCATTTTACTGGGAAAATACTCTATCAAGAAAGGACAACAGGAGCAAGTTGTTCATACTCTGACTGCATTCACCAGGTAACGCTGAATTCTTGTTATAACAGCTCTTGGTGTAGGGTAGGACACCAGCAGTATAAATGTAGGTCACACAGGGTTGTTTTCATTGCTGAATTTCTTCAATGCTTTCACCAGCTTTTTAGATCTTTCTTTGCCTCGGAATAAAATTTTCTAACCCTCTCAACTGGCCGAGTGATTTATATTTCATTTTAACCTGATCTGTGGCATGCCTCAAGGCTCTGTCCTAGCCTAATTGTCACCGAAATAAATGTAACACCTCTGAGTTATTTGTAGCAGTTGTCCCCATTCTTACGGAGATGACACAGATCTGTCAGCTTTAAGAAACAGAAAAAAAGATTCTTCTTGGTTTGCTTTAACAACAACCTCAGCCAGATGAAAGGAACTCGGTGAGTGAAGGGAGAAAAGAGTGGAAAGCAACAAAGTCAGTAAAGACCTGAAGTTAAGCCTTTCACCCTACCTTTTCCCCCCTCTCATCTTATTTAGGAGGAGGGGAGTGGGGTGGAAACCACCAAACACCAGGACAAATGAGGAAGACCAGACCAGGCCTCTGGAATACATATATACACATTAAAAAGAAATAAATAAAAAAAAATCTCACTTCCTTCTCAAACTTATCTCAGGTTTGTTGTATCAGTTGCACTTTTGTCCTGAAAATCCATCTAGATCCTCACATCAGCTGAGACTGTCTCAACTTTCGCCAAGCAATCCCAGATTTTATGACAAGGACGTGAAGATGATTCACTATTGCTAATGATACTGTTTAGTGCACTGATTTAGAGTAGATACAAATGCACACACAGTATGTTACCTTAAATCAAGCAGCACAGCTCAGAACAGGACAGATTTACCATAAGACAACCAGGCCCTGTTTACGTGTTCTCATCATTATTTTCTTTCACCATTTGATTGCATATCTTCCTGATATTACCTGTATTGTCTTTTACTGTAATTTTTCAGAGAGCATTCTCTGTTCGACAGCGTTCTGGTCTCCAGCGGAAAAATCATTCACCTGAGTATCAGAACGGCCGCCCCTGAGCCCACACTCAGTGTTGACAGTGCACAGAGAGTGAATGAACAGGCTGCTGTCAATCTGTTAAGATTGTCAAAAATGAACCTCCTCTACCTAGTGCTTCCTCTGGGGATACAGTGAGGGGAGCTAATGCTGCAGGAATTTCTGAGAAGAGAAAGCGTAATTGCAGTATCAGGATCTGTAAATATTAACACCAAAATTGTGACTTCACTCCAGAGGCTGATAGTATACACATTTTCTTTCAAAGTCTGCTCCTGGATCAGAGAGGTCAGGCAGAGGATGGTCAAGCATCATGCTCTTATGCTGGACAGCAGCCTTGGAACGTATTTTGAAAATCTGAGACCATTAATCTCTAATTTTTATTAGGTTGTCCTCTCTACCTCCCCTTTGAGCTACTTGCTCTATATCTATTACATAGTTTTCCCCTCACTTTTTTGTCATTTTGATAGATTACCTTTTTAAACTTTAGAAATTAGAGAGTTCTCATTCCTGAGATCAATTTAACTTTTTCCTCCCCTTAATACAGATTTTGCAGATGCTTAAATTATAAAACACTTACTAGAAAACTAGGTTTCCAGAATAAGGTTGTAGCCTTTCTCAACATGACTTAGATACTCCTCATTCACTAAACAGGAAATAAAGATATTTTATCATAGTGATCTACACAGGAATCAACTTTCATTTGCTGGGTTGTGGGGTTTTTGGTGGTTTGGGGTTTTGTTTTGCTTTGTTTTTTAAAGAATTGGCAAGAATCAACAACTGAATGCAGCAGAATGCATAGCCATAGGAGAAAACTCAAAGTCTCTTGCAAGATGTAGTGCAAATTATGGTTAAAGATTATTATCCATTTTAAAGAACAATTCAGTATGTTCTCCTCTTCCCCTGCAAAAAGCTGGGTCACACTCATCGTGAGCCTTAATAGACTTTTCAGCAGTTGTCAAAGCTACTCCATCTGAGACATCATTTTTAGCCAGAGGCATTCAGCTATTCCTAGATGTTATTTAAATATACATGACTGGAGGGCTTTCTATGAGACTGTCTAAAGTAATTAGTTTTGTAACTGTCCCCCTCCAAACATATACCCACACAATTTTTAACACACTTACAAGAATACTGAAAGTGTTATTCCCAAACACATTCACGTTTACAGTTAATGCTATAACAGGAAAGATTTTTAATATTATGGTATTAGTTCAGCTGATGTCTATTTCCAGAAACCTCTAGACGATTTTTAGTTCTAATAAAGTCCAGATTATTAAGAACCATCTAACAAAAGGATTCTCTTCTCTTTCTGGTTTAACAGCACTACATGACCATGCTATTCCATCACTTCATTTCACAACAGATTCTGGGAGCCAATATTTGAACACCGGGGAAAAAACTGACTAAGAGTAGTTTTTTCCCATAGTAACTTAATTTTCATTTAAGCAAGCATCACAATGCCGAAGTCTTTCTACAGTTTTCTCCCACTATCCATGAGAGTTTTGTAATCCAGATTATTTTTCTTCAAAGCAGTTCTGCAGTCTACGTTGCCTTTCCAATTCATTTGTTCCTAAGCACTGGAACCAGCTTCAGTAAGATTTTTGACAGACTAATCTTCAATCACGCTTCAATTACTCACAAGTGTAACACCTTTGCTGTATATTCTTCATGTGGGGCTGTTCAGCCTGGAGAAGAGAAGGCTCCGGGAAGACCTTATTGCGGCTTTCCAGTACCTAAAGGGGGCCTACAGGAGAGCTGGGGAAGGACTTTTTACTAGGCCATGTAGTGACAGGACGAGGGGGAATGGCTTTAAACTGGAAGAGGGCAGGTTTAGATTAAACATTAGGAAGAAGTTTTTCACTTTAAGGGTGGTGAGGCACTGGAACAGGTTGCCCAGAGAGGCTGTTGAGGCCCCATCCGTGGGGGTGTTCAAGGCTAGGCTGGACGTGGCCTTGGGCAACCTGGTCTAGTGGGAGATGTCCCTGCCCATGGCAGGGGGGTTGGAACTCGATGATCTTCAAGGTCCTTTCCAACCTAAACCATTCTATGATTCAGATATATAGTTATAGAAACTAGCTAAATCCTTTGCTGAAATATTTAATCAATTCCACAGCATTTAAAGGTAAAAGCTAAGGATTTCTGGAAATACATGGGTTCTGGGATTGTGAATCCAAGAGCCAATTGCTCATTTACTTCTGTTAACCTTATATTTGCTGCCACGCAAGATTTACTAGTTTCAAGAAGGAATTAAAGAGTACATTCTGCCCAAACGGCTCATGAGAAACAAGTTTCAAGGAAAATTTGTAACAGCAATATGTAATAATTTCAACAGGCACAAGAACTAAAGCATATCAGATGACAAACCCCAAAACAGAGTCTACATTTCATTCTGTGGGTGGCTACTAATACAATGGAGCTCAGATGTTTGTTTAGAACCACTAGAATACCATGCATATACTAGACCCCATCCCCTTGTGCTACTATGCCTCAGGTAAATTCTGCATTATCTTTGTGACATTGCAGTTGGATTAAAGCCCACTTAATTTGCTATTCAGTTCAAATCCAAACCCAATGTATTTTAGTGGAAAGCAATTTCTCCACAGTCAAAACCTTCTGCACAGCAGAAGTCATAGAATGAAGTACCCAAGACATTGTTCCCCCAAATTAACTGCAATTATACATACTGAACTAACAATTGCTTCTGGTAAAACCTGGTCTAGCAGATTTTCAGACTTCTAATTAAGCTAATAGCTAATCAATAACTACATAGCTTTTAAACACAATAGTTACAGATTATATTGTTATGTATGTTTATGTATGTCACAAAATTTAAGTTATCTAACACATCAGACCAACGTAGGAGAATTCAGCTCCTCAGAATTCAACTCTCCAGTGACTCAGATACGAACTCTTTTACCGATGTAACAAAACAGTATACTATGTAGCTTCATTCATAAATTTCAATGTAAATATTTTTTTCACAAATATTATGAAAGCACTGTCTACTAAGGTTGCTCCTTTCTAAGTGAAAGTGACTCAAGACACCAATTTTTTGACTGATGAAACAATAATTGAGAAACATGCTCTTTCATAACTTATGCACACAATTCTGCGTGAAACTTTTTTTTTTATGGTCAGTTTACTACATTAAGATTGAACAAACATTCTAACAGCAGGAAAAATGTGTACCACTACATCATTATGACAAATGTCCTATAGTTTTTCAAAGTGAAAATGAGAATTAAATAGTACTAGGCGCATGCTCAGACTACCAAGTGTCTCTAGCTCTGTCACTTTCCTATAAATTCCCATTTTCATTACAAAATTAATAAATACCAGAACACACTTCTGGTGAAACTGCGTCATCCTCAAAAACACCACAAAAATTTTGTTTTTCAACACCTATCTGTATAAGCGTTTTGGAGGGTATTAAAAATAGACTAGTTTCTTGGGAACATTTTGTAGTTAAAAAAAAATAAATCTTTTTTCCTATAGAGGTTTTCTTTATCACAGCAAAATCACGGATATTATTCTGCAGCCTTGCATGAAAAGCTCATGTCAGCAAAAATACAAGATCTTCTTTGACATCTGAATGGTTACATACATCCATTTTTCATGCCCTTGAGTATATTTTTTTCTCTTCACAATCAGAAATTCCACAAAAATGCAAGGAATAACCACGTGCAGTATTTAAGTCCCCTCGTTGTGAATTAAAGGTCCCATAGAACATTTTTTGAGGAGAAGGGGAAAGCCCCAAGTTGTCAAAGTTTCTTTTTTAGGTCACTCACCTTGGGTAACTCCCATTCTGATCGGGAACCATCAGCACTGTAGTAGTATGGTCTGCCTTGTTCATCTGCATGTTTTATCCACTGTAGAAAGAAACGTGATGATAGGAAATGTAATCAGAGTGACAGTCATAACATAGTAAATCTCTGATACTTGGGATTTAAAGTTAATTTTTAATAAAGTGCCATCCACTTCAGCAGTGTCTAGTGCACAACCTCCATTAACTAACCAAGGTTAGTTACCAACGAGAGCAACACAGTTTTCAGCTTCCTGAATTGGGTTCACTAATGTTTTTTCCGTCTGTAACTCCTCAGAAAATAGCCCTGCAATATCACACAAGAGATGGTGAGAAACAGATTTTTTAAGATGGCATATCTCACTCTCATCAACATTATGGTGTCAGTTTGAGGCACACTCTTTGCATCAGATCTGTGTAAGGGTTTTATACATAAAACTACAGAAATACAAGAAGCCCAACCAGCATTTAAAAGATAATTGCAGTTGTTGAACAACTCTGTTTTTAAAACGCCAACAGGAACACGAGATGCAGTTCCTAAATAAATCATGATGAAGATAACATAATTTCTGTAACCTCTATAAACAACTCCCACAATCAAGGGGGTAAAACTACAACAACTATGACTAGTTATGCAGAAAGGAAAGAATTGTCATGAATAAAAGTCTACAAGAAGATCTCACAAAAATATGCACAGAAACACTCACAAGAAGGCTCTTGGGCCAAGCAGATTTCACAGGACTGCCTTCCAATAAACTGTTCATGACAGGAAACACAGTTTTCTATCAGTCGCAGTGCAATTTAAAAAAAAAAAAGTTTGCATATTTGCCAAAACACAGGTATGTGCTCTACAGATGTTTAGCAAAAATAGATTAAGGAGGATAAAATTCCAAAACTGACAGAAAACTCAATTATTTAAGAACTTCTTTCAAAAAAAACCTTGCATACACCAACTGGAGAAGGGGTGGTGCTATAATACAGTAAACAAACTACTGTTTCAATGAACACCTTTTGAAGTTAAAAAAAAAAAAAGCAACTTTAGTGAACAATTAGTAAAATGGACTGCTTTACAGATATAAACAAATATTGTCATTTATCCTACATGAGAGAGTTTTTATCACATGCCCAGAATCACAGTAAACTGTCAGTAGAAATTAGATAATTAGAATAGAACATAAATCTGCTGATACAGCTGTAGTTTAAACAAGTTTGTTTACATCCGAAAGCAGTACTGAAAATCTCTAGTAAAGTAAAGGATGAAAATGATAAAGCAGCATTATATTCAGTTTGAAACCATTCTATCTGGAAGGCCCATGTAGATAAGAATAGCTCTTAAAAGACAGTAAGAAAAACATAGTATTGGTATGAAGTTCATTCCTGAAGTGTAACCAAGAGGATGGGGGAAGGCGGGTGTTCAAAAAATTATACGTGATACATTCATTTAATACAATCTGATATCCAACTGGAAATAAGAAAACTTATTCTGGATAGTAAAGAAAGAGGGGGAAAATGGTCAGTTCAGTTGCTAAAGTTTCGTGCATATTTAAAAAACAAAAGGAGATACTGCTGCAGTATGCTTTTCACTTCTAGAGATGAAATCTGCATTTCTAACAGCGAATTAGTAGAAAAGATTTAGAACACGTGATGAGAAGAAGGAAAAAGTACCTTTTCATTAGTATAGTCATTGGTATATAAGGTTTGACCATGTTCATCCAACTCTTCTGACCAACCCTTTGGAGGAGAACCATACTGACTATCTGACTGGCTGTAACAAGAACTGTGGTCGTTTTCTTCTGATGAAAGATGCTACAAGTAGTCAGAAACATACAAGGCAGTTTTGAGAATGAAAGCACTTTGAAATCTGAAAGATCAAAGATTATTTGACTAGAAAGAGAATAGTAATAAATTCAGGGAGTTCACATTTTTATATCTTACATGAGAGAATAAGAGATGCATTTTCACAGTACAGAAATATTTGATATTTGCTAGGCAATTCAAAGTATTTTCAGAACAACTGGTTTATACTGACAGTTGGGGTTTTTTAATTCTACTATACTAGATTTCAACTACTCAAAGTTAAACTCCGATTTTTTTGCTGATATAAATTTTATTCCCACAAATTCACATTACTGAATGAAGAACAGAGTTAGCTTCAGTAATCTGCATTGCCTCAAAAAAAATTGGGAGACCTGCTACCTTGGTTTTCTGGTAACATCCTAACTTCCATACCTAAATCCTTTTCTTCCCTTCCCAAATAGTATCTGGAAACACAATAATCATAAAGACAATTTGTAACTCCAGTCGCACCTTTCTAGGTCCCAGCACTTCACAGTACTTGTGCAATGCATCCTAAAATATTAGGAATTTCCTCTCTCCTCTTTTCAACTCTGATGTGTGTGACAATGAGCCATGCAAAGCAAGGCTTTCTATCAGCACAGCTAGCTGAGGTGTAAGATTATTTTCTGAAGCCAGACATGAGTTATAATGTAAGGAACAAGTCTGACATGTAAAGTAGAAAAGAGATTTTGCACACACATGTAAAACAGTTTCTGTTGCCTCATACAACTTGCTAACATATTGCAGTTATTATTCAAAGCACCCATTCCATGGATCAAACAAAACAAACAAATAAAATCTCCCTGCATTCCTCTCTCACAACAATCTATGTCACAGTCTCCAGAGGAATTCAGTGCAGATTACCTTTCACACTATTTTGGAAGCTCGGCTAGTAGGAGGCATAACACTTATGCCTTTCTGCTATTCAGAAATTATGATAGTTAAATATTGACTAAGGTTCAATAACACAAACATAAGGGTTTTGAGGAAAACTATAAAGCAGGAGAAATGCAGAATTTCAATTTTAAACTAGGAAAACACCTCTCTTGAAAAGCTTAAATCTTACAAAAAAAAAATAAAAATCCAGGTATCAGAAACTCACCAGTTTTTAAAATTCAGTGTTTTTAGAGACTATGTGTTTAGTGACATTTCCAAATGATCATCACATCGAGTTTTGGTCTTACCTTTCTAAGTACCTTACCACTTGTGCGACACAAACTCCCTATGCTGACACAAACCAGCTTACCAAGTACAGCAAAACCCACAGGAAATTTTTGGGTCATTAATAAAACAACATGCAAAATGTAGGTATCCTCTACAGCCTACAGAATGTGAGCATCTAAGCTATGGATTAAACAATGCTACCTGTCTTGCGCGTGGAGTAACACAAAATTCTGAAGTGCCAGTTTCTAAACAAAAACAAGGCAAAAAAGTCTTCAGTCCCATTTTTACACTTTAAGAGTTAAGACTAAGGAGTTGATAAGAATGCTACTGGCCCCATTTGAAATACTGTTTTGTAAGACAGCTATACTATATATACACATTTAAGCTTCCATTATGTTTTAATGGTTAAATATTAAGTGCATTGACATTTGTTCAATCAAAGTAGTAGACTTTGGACGTTGTTATTATTACTATTCGGTCATAATTCCTGTTAATAACATAATGCATTTGTATTTGCCTCTTCCAAGCAACTCCTGATACTGAAGAAATACTATAAATACGTAAAACTAAACAGAAGACTTAAAAATTAATATTCTCCAGGAAAAAACACTGTTGTTCAGTAAGAATGACTGTTGATTTGTCCATCTGTAAAGGCACCCATATAATAATAGTCACAGAATCATAGAATCATTTAGGTTGGAAAAGACCCTTAAGACCATCGAGTCCAACCATCAACTTAACACTGCCAAATCCACCACTAAACCAAGTCTCTAAGCACCACATCTACAGGTCTTTTAAACACCTCCAGGGATGGTGACTCAACCACTGCCCTGGGCAGCCTGTTCCAATGCTTGACAACCCTTTCTGTGAAGAAATTTTTCCCAATATCCAATGTAAACCTCCCCTGGCACAATATAAGGCCATTTCCTCTTGTCCTATCGCCTGTTACGTGGGAGAAGAGACCGACCCCCACCTGGCTACAACCTCCTCTCAGGGAGCTGCAGAGAGCGATAAGGTCTCCCCTCAGCCTCCTCTTCTCCAGGCGGAACAATCCAAGTTCCCTCAGCTGCTCCTCATCAGACTTGTCCTCCAGACCCCTCGCCAGCTTCGTTGTCCTTCTCTGGACACGCTCCAGCACCTCCCTGTCCTTCTTGCAGTGAGGGGCCCAAAACTGAACACAGTATTTGAGGTGGGGCCTCACCAGTGCCAAGTACAGGGGGACAATCACTGCCCAAGTCCTGCTGGCCACACTGTTTCTGATACAAGTCAGGATGCTGTTGGCCTTCTTGGCCACCTGAGCACATGTTGGCTCATATTCAGCTGGCTGTCTTAATGCTTCAAGGCTTAACTAATCTCACATACCATACAAAGTACGAATTTAGCCTTTGCAGACTTAAACTTAAATGAAATTCCTGAGTTGTTACAAAGTTTACCAAGGCAAGGCATTCCTTGTCCCTAAGCTAGTATGAACAACAGCTAAAGCTGCATCAACAGGGGTTAGAGAACAGTAGCCAAACCACATTCAGCACCCTTCAATTTAACTTTCAACACTTTTTCAGTATTAACTGCCTGAATGCTTTTTACGTACCGTCCATACTTTCTCTGAGAGTCCCATCCCCAATTACACTATGCCACATTTAAATAAAGCCATCTAAGGCAGACAGCTGCGCAGCCTTAGACCTTCTGAGAACTTGCTGTGACACAAATGGGAATTACAGAAAAGGTCCCCCATATCACCATCTTTCTTGGCTTTTTTCCATTTACATGGAAAATTCTCGAGGGCAGAAACCAGTTCATCACCATGCATTTAATAAAAAAAAAGGAACAGTTACAGTCTCTCTTCTATCTCTTAACCAGTCTAGTTTTGAAAGTTACTACTACTTCTAAAAATCAAAATAATAAGAAAGAATACTGAGTAATTAAAGAAGCTAGCATCCCTTTATTACCCTTCGTTTATTGTGAAATAAAAAACAGGGAATGAAATTGCATCTTGGCCACATGCTTTAAATGTAGTTTTCAATTTAAACCAATTCCTATTTTCATTACAATCCTGTTGCTTTTCTACAGCTTGCTGGTTAATTTGTTGTCTCTACTTCATATTATGGTGTCTTAGCTAGGTATTAGAGGTTTGCTTTCTCCGACATGATGACATCTCATTCCTTTTACCATCCTGTCTGACAGATTTCTCCCAGTTACTGTTAAACACTTCCTCAAATATATTAACAAGTCACTACCTCTGACAAATTTTATCTTTCATTCCAAAATCTTGTACACTTTCCTAGGGGCTTGTCAATAGGACTTCATTGCTTCCCTTCACCCCATCCAAATAACTGCCATAAACTACGACTGCCTTCTTTGTGCCATATCTGTTACCAACTTCTTTGATAAATTAAATACAATTTTGCCTGTTCCTAATTATGCAATTAAATTCAATTTCCTGATCACAAATTTCTAGGACCAACTATAGGCTATTTCATGTTCTAATATATTACACATATATTAGAATATATGATCATTCACAGTTGTCATTTTTACATCACCTTGCCATTTTGCTACCTAATACGATACAAGCTCCTCCGGTAGAGACACAACCAGCATTTAACCTTCCTGTATATGCTCTTTTATTACTAAATCTGAAGGGAATAAGCATAACTCAGACTAGTGTGTAAAAGCCAACTTAACTTCATTATAATAAATTAATCCTGTTTTACTAATTATTAAGACATATTTGCTCTAAGTCTTCATAATCAGACAAAATTTGGGGTGTCCTATATTTTACTGTAGCTTAGCCTCAAATCTCAACCATTACTGCAAGTATTTTGGTTTAAGTACTCAGAGGTCATAAACAAAAAGGTGAACATGAACAGTGGAGTGTGAAGTGCACTCCCAAATGCAGAACAGAAAAGAAAGGAATTAAAAAAAAGAAAGGCAGCTTCAAAATCATCACATGACTGCTGGAAAGTGAATTGACATGACCTTGCAACATATACCTCCCTAGGCTCAAACTTTGATAACCCTGTCAGAGAGGACACAAATTACTTAAGCAACTTGCGCTACTGGAAATATAAACTTGTGTCTAGTTAAAAATTAATCAAAATATGTATCATCCATTGGTCTTACAAAGACTAAAACTTGATAGATGTAACTGTCTGAAGGCCAATCTGTGATACCTCGTGCACCACAAATAAACAGAAGAGCTGAGCTGAAGTAAGTTATAGGCAATAACAAAATTTAAGAAAATCAAGCTTTCTGAACATGCAACCACGTGCTGAAGTCATGGCACGGATGTATGAATGAGAGTCAGAGGGATCATTTGCAGCTGGGGAGGGAGAAAGAAAAGGAAGAACGTTCTTCCAAAGAAAAGGAAGAACAATGACAACAGAAAACCAGCTACACTTAGTACAAGGAGAGTTACTACTCAAAAAAAAGCAATGACCTTATCCAGACTAAAACCAGGGTCCTATCCAGCAAAAGGACAACCAATAAGAAATTAATAGACCATCCTCAGAGATACCAAAGCAAGAGCCACAAATATTTCACCAGTTTACCTGTTGCTGCCACTAGCCTGTGGTAAGAAAATGTGGCTGTTTAAATGCTTGCAGATTTCACAGCTTCTATGAAGGCTATTGCCAAAGGCAATGAGAGGGTCCCTTTTTGTTTTCTCGCCTGTTTCTGGCACTAACATCCCAGAGGTAAACTGCTACAACATGGCTCCCAGCAATCTAACATTTCTGAGCAGCCCACAATTAAAACTAAACAATGTAATAGCTCAGGAGGAGATCCACCTAAACTACACATATTTGGAAGGGGTTAAAAAAGTGAAATATGTGGAAGATTTCTTGATAAATGTTTGCTTTTTCTTCCAACCAGGAAACTGATTAACCTAAGTACTGTTTGAACACAAGAGCATTATTTTAAGCATATTTCAACAGTAATATCCATCTCCCAGCTATTTCTTCGCTTTATCTGAACCACAGCAGTTCAGATAAACACACACCACTGTCTGGCTCTCCTTAGTGACCAGCTGAACAGAATATATCTGCACCTCAGTATTGTCCCAAATCATCTTTTAACACAAACTTGAGCATAGGAAGTTCCATCTTAACATGAGAAGGAACTTCTTTACTCTGAGGGTAGTGGAGCACTGTGGAGTCTCCCACACTGGAGTCATCCCAAACCTGCCCGGACGCCATCCTGTGCAACCTGCTGTAGGTGACCCTGCTCTGGCAGGGGGGGTTGGACTAGATGATCTCCAGAGATCCCTTTCACCCTGACCATCCTGTGATTCTGTAAAGAACTTCACGGTAAGCTTCACCTCTCCTAAACAAGGTCTGCAGCACAGCTTTGCCAGAAAGTTTTACAAAAGCAAAAGGCTTGCATAATGAAAAAAATCCATTGATATATTTACAGAATATTGCTTATGGCCTGAATGTAATCTATTCAAAAGCTCACATAGCCAATTGCTAAGAGCTGGGGTGGATTTCCTCCTCCCATCAGCATTTGCTACCCTTGGACCTAGACAATCAGCTAGGCAGAGCTTCTAGCATGGTAATTTTAATGTTCTCATCTTCAGTTCTCTATAATATCATTCACAGAATGAAGAAAAGTATTTTCTCAAAATTAACACAGTTTGATAACAAAATATTGCTCCTTTAACTGTCCTTTCTCCTAGTTTGTTCTACAGCTATCCAAGGCTCCACACAAAAATCATTCACAAGTGTGTAAATTCAAATCGCCTAAGCAAATGGTTAAATAAAATGCTGCAACAAGTTATCCAGCTAAACTTGCTTTTTATATTCACTATGATTATCCCACCGCTTTAAGAATTCATGAATTAAATAAAATTTGACTTTGAACAGTCACATATGCCCCTTTTAAAAGCATCACAGAATATATAGAATTATTAATAGTATGTATAAATCTAAGTAAAAAAAAAAGCAGTATATTTTAATTTGATAGAAACTTCAATTATGTCAGTATTTTTCATGTGGGTAGAAGGTGCTATGGAACTCCATTAAGTCTGGTTTTGACTCCAGAACTCTGGAGTTCTCGACATGCATCTTAATATCTAAATCCATCTTAATTCCTCTCTTTGAAAATATTTCCTCTATAAGAAAAATATCTCATATTTAAATTTACTGCTACAGTGCTAACCAAGCAGTAGCAAACACCTGTATATCTCCTGCCTTTTTTTAACTGTGTATTTAAGTAATATTGATAAAATAATTTCCCTTGCCTTTTTCATTGCATCCCCATAAATCCTGCCTCTAGAAGCACTGTCACACTCTCCCCTTTTTCCTCCTCTTCTGCCCCCAAAATATGCCAAATACACTGAGAAAGAGAACACACTCCATGTAAGAGAAGTTATGATGGTTGTCTTGTTCTACTGTCATTTATAGTGCTATTAGTTTCAGAATATCTTAGTTTTCCTTTACCTTTAAAAGAAAAGCTGCAATACCTGCTGAGGGACTGTAAGGCATTTTTACAACTTACTACTCTCGTACACGGTTCATGTACGCATTTCTGGTACGCTAAAGCAACTGAAAAGCTAAATTGTTTACTTCTTTATACCACGACACATGACCAAAGAGACAAACGAAGACACTCCTTGACACCTCGAAACTCAGTGATACCAAATTCCATAGCAAAACAGCATTCATATGCATTACAGTCTCATTGCTTGTGATCTCAGAAGGAACTACCTCATGATCTGCATGGCTCTGGGAATCCCCTTTATTAATGCTTGCATCTCGGGCCCACCGCGGAGGTTTCCAGGTTCGTTCCTGTGATCCTCGGTTGTAGTAATAACAGCGTCCTGTCGTATCTTTATGGGTTTCCCATTCCCCATTTATTTGGACTGGAGCACTTGTAGGTAGTGGTGGAAGTGCAGACTGAGATATTTTCAGTTCTTGTAAATTAGCATAAACTGGTGAATCAGGCCTCCCTTGGCTTGGTGGAGTAGTTGGCTATTGAGAAAAGAAATGTATTGTTAAAGAGCACATGAATTTTAGAATGCTCCCTTACAAATCAGAACATATTACAGTAGTAAAACAAACCAACAAACTCCCTTTTTTGTTAAGTACAAAAGCACAAAGGACAGCCACAAGATGTTGGGGCATGAAAACACTAGATTGTTAACTATAAGGTAAATATCACAAGCTATATTTATTTAACCCTGGAACAATTTTTCAGCATTTCTCCAGATGACAGCTGATAATTAGGTCTTACACTGGATTTGAAATACACTGGCATCATCATCAAAATAATTATATGCTTGCCTTGTCGAAAAACTTCGGCTTTACAGTTGAAGTATTGCTCAGGAACCGTAAGCAATGTAATCTGGTTCAAGACAAAACGTAGCATTTCTGAGATGCCACTTGTTAGGCAAAGACAGTTCCCCAATCTTTCACCCCCCTGCTAATACAGATGATTGTGAATGTAAAGGAGCATTCTTCTCTTCTCAGCAAGATCTAAAGAGATGGTTCAGTTGGAAAGACGAGCACAACATTCTGACTAAGAAACTCTGGAAACCACCTGGATGGTTTACCTGTATGCCTTTCCAAACAGATGCTTATTTAAAAATATTTTAAGTAATATCACCAAGTGTTCTCATCACCACACCCTTCTTATAGAAATTAAGTGGATATTCTTATCCACCTAACTTTATTCACATACATGCACAGAAGTAAAACAATAAATATCTACAAGAAAGCAAAACACTAATGACAATTTCTCATTAATAAAGAGTTTGCTAACATGAAGGCCAGCAGAAAGCACGGTTAAAAGTCCATGGCACTCACTGAAAGCATAAGTACTTTCAAATAAGCCACCGATGTGTTTAGGAGAGAAATGCACTTTCAGATGTTCAATTTTTAAAGTAAATACAAGTATATAAAACACACTATGCAGAATATAAAAGCACCTGTTTTCACAAGAGCTGTGATTATGAAATTGTGAAAGCAGCTTGTTATTAAATCAAATTGAGTAGTTTCGTGGTAATGCACTGCCATCTCTGTATTTGAAGGCACATTATTTAGGCATTCTAAATGAAGGAACTATATAATTTATACCATCCCTGCCCCCTACTTGGTTTTAATTCAGAGCTTTGCTGCAGGCAAGTCCTTATGCCTCGTTACATCTTTCACAGGAAAAAATAACATATTGCATTACATAAAAGATCTTTTATAATGTACTTTTAAACATTAAAATCATAAGCTGCTAATCTAGGCCACATCTAATCATAAATTATCGGGGTTTGCTCAGGCAAGACAGCATATCGTACCACACAATCAGATATAAACTGATTGCACCACAGCTAGAACCAAATATGGGCAATATCCACAACCAAAAGGGGAAATAGCTAGAGAGGAACTTAATGAGATTAAAACAGGCATGGACTTGTTTTGTGCACCTTTAAAAGAAAAAACACAGATTACTAGATATAGCAAGTACTGTGTGTTTTAGGCAAACCACAATGGGGGGAAAAAAAATTGCAGCACTGACAAAATCAGAGAGCCAAAACCAATTAGTATCATCCTCTACCTAATTCAAAGGGGAAAAAAAAAAATCTGTTACAAAACTTGATGAACAGTAAAAGACTATTTTTCTACTATCCAAGTCTCTCCCTTTCCTTTTTTTTTTTTTAAAGGGGTTCAAATGGCTGGTTTTGGTAAAGATGCTCTTGAGAGCACTAACAGCATTAAAGCATGCTGGTGTGAACAAAGCATCACCCCTCTGTCTTCAGGGACGAACCCCGATTCCCCGGGATGGTGGGAGAGTGACCCTGATCAACTTCCAGGTGTTGATCAAAGCCTGTCCAAGGTCTCCTCATTCAAGACTGCAGCAGGTGGGGGGGGGTTGGTTTTTTTTTTTTTGTTTTTTTTTTTTAATGGCTTGTCATTTGAAGCAACACCATACACCTGCGCCGGGGGATGCACAAGCCTTCAGGTTCTTCCTCTGTTTCCAGGAAGTGGCAAAAGCAGCACCATCGTGCACCCCGGCTGCTGCGGGGGGAGGCCGGTGGCTTGCACAACACCCCCGTCCTCCTGAAACTGCTCTTCCACACAAGACAAGAGGGCGGCTTTGCTGTTTGGCCTGCTTTTTTTTTTGTTTTGTTTTAATTCAGGCAATGAAGTGCCATTATTAAAAGAACAGTTCTATGTATTAATAAAAGTGCTTCCCAAATAGAAATGCTGTAACGCAGAATGCTTGATATAGTTTTTAGAACATTTTCTTCAAGCAACACATCGGAATACGGCTCAGAGGTTTCACATTGAGATTTTCAATGGTTTCACCATTATAGCCAGAACAACTCCAGAACACTTATGCGCTGAGCCAATACTGGGAGCTCACAGCCAACATACTGCCGCGTAACTCAGGCCACATGCTAGTTCAGTTTAAAACAATAACATGATATGAAAGTGTAAGGAGGGGTTTTCTTCTGTATGCTTAGTACTTTCAAATTCAATATACCCATTTCTGGTTTTCAAGGGAAAATCATAACTTTTGTCCTGAACAACAAACAAGACAGCTAACCGTCCTGCCAACCAAGCCTCCAGCTACTTTCATTCCCTGTTGTGCTCTCTGACAATTTTTTTTTTTTTAGGAGAAATGCAAGATTTTTGAAAGGCACCTGGTAAGCTACTGCTTTCAACGAAGCATAAAAAAAATGCAAAGCCATCAGTCTAACTACAACAGCTTAGCTTGTAAGTACGTCTTTGAGGGATACAACTTTCTTATCAGGAACTATTTTAAATAACCACATGACATAGAATAATACTTCCTCATACCTCGAGCCACGCAAGGAGGTGTATTGTTGCGTCTACAATAATGCTGAGTTCAACAGCACCCAACCTTATCAAGGCTAATTTTGTGAAGAACGTCTCATTTACTGATGAGAAAAAACAGCTTTCAGAAAGCTCAAAGTTTCCTGAAATTGACTTCAGTGTACTTTCTCCATCAGCGTTGGCAGGAAGGTCAATCCTCCCGCCAGCCTTGGGAAGGAGAGTCCCGCAGAGAGGCAGGACCCACCGGACGGCCCCGGAGAGTGTCCGGGCCCTGCACACCTCGCCAGTGCTTTGAAGGCGACTGTTCTAGGTTCAAGGCTGCGTTCTGCAAAAACCTTTAACAGTTTCAAGCCAAAATGCATATTAATTTAACTGTGTTCATCTACCAAACCCACTACTCATTACCAACCTGCAAATCGAATAAATAAAACGTTACGTAGACTGAAAGAGTTCCTGACCGCTTCCATGGCTGTTTTCCCAAAACCAGACATGCCCAGTTAAGGGAAACTCAAATATATGCTAAACGCTAAACAGTTCTGTACGTACATGAGGACATCCAGTTAGAACTTCAGTCCCTGAGCTTTGTTTTTACACTAACAAGCTCTGAATGCTTATAAACATGGAATTAAATCTACCAAAAAAGACTCCTTGTCTTCTCACTATCAGAAATCACAAGAACATGTCCTTCAACATGCCCATGCATGCATACACAAAATGCCTTCTACTCAAAACATTTCAACATTAATTTGCTATTTGATACGGATTTCAGACTTTTTCCATGTTGTTTTCTCCTGCTAAGAACAGTGAAAGACTTGCTAGAAAAATGATGAAGAAAAATTAGAAAGCAGAAATACTTCTACAACTTGAATGAAAATTGTACAGCCCATTAAGCACCAGCGCAACCTTACAAATATGAGGACCTCTCCCCGAGCTCAGTAATGCTCCATATTTTAATACTTTAAAAGTCTGCTGCATTTAAATTCAGTCTCACAGAAAAGTCTGCTAGCACTAAATCCTTGCAAATTGATAAGGAAGAGAGTTTCATGCAGGCAGGACAAAGTTTCCGAGATCAACACACAACATTCTTCAAACAGGGCCTGTACGCACAGCTTACAAAAAAGCTGTGCGTACAGCTTTTTCAGAACACAGTTTTTATACTGACACTGTAGGAAGCAGATACGTGCCTTTAAATAAAACAACCTGTTAATCATTCATGAATGAACAGTCAACATTTTCAACAAAGGCTGCAGATACGCTATCAGGCCTCTGAACGCTTGAACTCGGTGCAATGAAAAGCAAACTTACTATACTTCACAAGGTACTTTCAATTACCAAAATGCATATCAGCTTCTCAAATCATACCTTAAATTTAAACATTACCTTACACAAACAGCTTTTTTCAGACAGCAGTATTTAAGTGTTCAAAATTAAAACGAACTTAAAAAAATGTTCAGAGCACTCCAACAGGGTAAGACTGCAGTTCTAGGAGAAAAAAGGGACTACAGATCTCTTTCCTAGCCACCACTTAAAAATGCTTTTTGTTTATTTTTGTGCAATGAGAACATACTGCAGGGAGAATGCCAGCAATTAAAAGACAGAAAACAAAGTTTCCTTGAAACCGGTAATTACCTTTTTCCTTTCACAGCACTTAAATCCAAGACAAAAACTTCTAGAACGTAACAACCACTTAAAGGACTGCAATGCTAGCCTGCAAAACATGACCTACCACACATGATTTTTCCTCCTTTACAAATACATTGCTTCAGTTGTCCTGCCTCTGTTTGCAGCTTTTCTGTGTCATAAACTTGAAATGAAAAGCTTCCATTTCAGTAGCAGCATTCTGAAACTAGCTGCTAAACATGAAAAAAAAAAAAAAATCAGAAAAAAAAAGCAAATCCTCTTAAAACTCTTTATAAAGTTACAAGCAACAGATTGCCCATACTCATGCAAAAGAACAGCACTACACTGAAGGAAAACGACAGAATACCAGTTCTTTCCAGCAGCGAACTGAAGAAAGGAGAAGAGGCACATCCCACAGCAGCCCAAGACAGGGAACGAAGCATCCCAGTTCCCTCAACAACCGAGCTTCTTGCCAAGGAATTGCCACTGTCCTTTTAGGAAGGCCTGGGACTTCAATACCAGCTTTATTCAACAGGAATGATGATACAAAAGAAATCTCA